CCGGGGCTGAGCCGGTTCCAAAGTTTAATTTATTAGTTCCGTCCGCCAAGGCTGCATGGCTGCAACTCTCTTGGCGTTGGCACTTGGCAGGTCGCAGATCTTGCAGAGCTTTTCCCGATGGCGGTGGATCATTGGATCGTCGGGCTAGTCACTTCCCGGCGCCGGCGCGCCGCCCACTACTTGTCACTGCTTAGCTTGCCTGCTAGTCTAAGCTCTAACTAAGCCACTCCTCCAAGATAGTCCTCAGCAGTCAACTACTGTACAGAGTAAGGTGAAGCACGGCTAAACGTTCTTGCTGACAGATTGCTGTCTCCATGGGCCTTAGCCACGCAATAGCCGTCAAAAGCGTTGAATAAGGCCAGACTTCATCCTATCGCCAGATGCCGTTGTATAGATCCTGGACGAAGAAATTTTGCCCCATCTACTCCTCCCACGGCCTCAATCTTCCTGCCAGCCTAGCTTCTCGTCTTCATCCGCCACCTGGTGGACTTCCTCCATCTTTGAACGCTCGACCTGTTTCCTCCATAGTGCTGCCAGATCATCGGATGTGCTAGCTTCATCGATGGATTTGTCCTCCCGGACCCTGAGGAAGCGTGGAAAGCGCAGGCTGAGCCCCCTCTCATCACTCACGAGACCAATGGCTGCTGTGTAGGTAGGACTGAGCGTGATATCTGCAAAGGCCATCTCCCAGACTTCCTGGGGTTCGAACCATACGTCCGGTTCTCCTGCATATTCCACATAACTCGGCCGCGAGATCACGTTCTCCCCGCCCTCAGAGTACTTTTCCTTGTTGGCCTGATAGAATTTGTCCGTGAAGCCAGACATACACTTCGTAACCGCCTCGAGGACCCCCGTTTCCGGGTTGCGGACGGCCATGAGAATGGGTGACCACCACTTGGCTTTTCGACCTTGGCCATGCCACGCTCCGATAGGGATCAAGTCGAGCGTATCAGAGGATGTACTGTAATCCTTTTTGACCTTAAGCCAAGACTCCAGACGCTTGTCAGGTTCGTATGTAGCTAAAAGGGGTTTGCGCCGGGATACTTTCTCTTTTGGCTCGCTTTTTATACTTTGGAGCCCATCCTGGCCATTCTGCTCAGATTCCAACACTTCCTGCTCCATTTCTTCTCGCTCATAGCTTATCCCCACACTCTTGTCTGGTTCCGACTTCGCTACGTTGTCGAGAACTTTGACCATGATCCCCTCGCATTTAGCTTCAGTTGCGCCCTTAAAGAATTCCAGAACAGCATCTGAATCAGCTGATGTCGCGTCCAGGCTCTTCACCCAGGTAAACCGGTTTGGAATCTCTGTAAATAGGCTTCGAAGCAGCTCTCTCCGTTCCCGGAAAGGTCTATCCAATAGAGGCTCTCCATTTAGATACATCAAGTCGAAAGCAAAAAGGCAAACATTCACCTTGATACTTCCAAGCTCGACGTTCTTTTTCGCACGATTCGTGAGAATCTGGAAGGATTTGAGCTCTCCAGAATCGGGATCGACGGCAACCACTTCACCCTCCAGAATGAAACTGGAAACTGACTCTCCCCGAATCGCAGGTACCAGAGAGACCAGGTCTGGATACTTGTCGGTCATCAGTTCCAAATGACGAGAAAATATGGACACTTTGCCTTTCTCATCGCAATGAACTTGTGCGCGTTGTCCGTCATATTTGTATTCGCAAGCAAAGTCTCTCCCTTGCAGTTTAGTCAACATGTCCGAGAGATCACGGGTGATGCTGCCGAGCATAGGTCTGAGAGGCACATGCAGCGTGAGCCCGCATCGCACCAACAGCTCTTCCGTCACTCCTATCTCCAGGAGACACGGAACAAGATCATCATAATTGGGATGGCGGGCATAGGATGCTTTGACAATCTCCTCAGCCTTACTGTAGACGTCGGCAAGTTCTTCCTTCTTCAATCTCGAAAGTTCCTGGGGAGAACGAACGGTAAATTCTGCGCCCTTTGGCTTCGAGAACAGAAAGGCTCGTGCGAGCGCGATCAACATGGTTGTCTTTACTGCCCCGATGCGCAAGTTCTGTACAAGAATTCTCACAATATAGCGACTCTCTTCAGCTCCTCGGCTATCTTGAAGCAGTTTCTCAACAATGCGTTGTTTGCTTTCCTGACTTCCAGGCCCCTTACTCTTGGCAATTTTCATCAATGACTGATACACCCCCTTGATTGTAAGCGGTTTTGGTCTCTTTAGTGTGAAGCTCTGTCGCTTCTTTGCCTCGAAAGCGACGTCACCGGCATCGCCATGCTTGTCGTATAGCGTTTTGAGTCCTTGGCTATTCAGTCCATATATACTTTTTGAGTGCCTTGGATATTGCCGATCCTCCCAATCCGAGCTCTAACGGAACGTAAGGTGGAGCGAATGAATTCGTTGCCAACCAGACCGCGGGTAGAAGACTGTCAGGGTCTCCCTCGATGAGGACCCTGAGCAGATTCACGAGAGTATCGACGATTTTGATCCGACTTGTAGTGCTGTTAATGAGGACAAACCCTCTCGTCAAGAGAGCGTATGTTGCATCGCCACCGTCTGAGGCCCAATGTCTCTGAAGCTCGTCCACATATTTCGATGGTTCGAATGTCAGAGGGCTCTGGTCGAAAGGAATAGACGAGACAATCGTATCTTCGGACCCTATAGACGATTGCAGAGACAACGTTTCTTTCGTTCGGACCGCTTCCGACTTGGCGCGTACATCATTCACGGGAGCAGGAAGTGGTGTGCTGCTCTTCAACTGTTCGGCTTGATGAGCGCTCTCCGCAGGCTGGGCACTTGATGCCGCTGCTCTGTCCTCTCGATCCCATTCTGCTTGCAACTTTCGAGCAAGCTCCTCATCCGTCAAGACCTCTTGTTTCGATTCAGATACAGGTTCTGCGGGGTTGGCAGCCGTCTTCGCTCGCTTGGTAGCTTGTCCTCTGAAAAAGGACTCGATGCTCCGCATGCGCTGTGGAGAAGATTCGGGGGCATTATTCTTGCGTTTCTTAGCCGGACTAGGCATATCTTTTTCTCAAATAAAAATATGATAAGGTAAGAGAATTGCCGTAAATCGGCAAACCAAAAATATCATTTGTGGCATTTGTTTATTCGTAAATGCAGGTGACAGTTGAGAAGTAGGTACTCCGTACTCTCTCGGGGGCGGAACCCGGGGATGATGTCTAATCTCCTATTCCAGTATAGCGTTCCTATTCAGGAAAGGTGCCACGATGCCGCCCTGCCCGTCTACTGTACCCTATATAGACTTTCTCCCGCTGTTTGACTGACCATGTTTTCATTATTGCGACTCTAGCGTGAGTGAGCAGACAGCAAGAATGGTTTTGCCAATGGCTTCAGTGATTTATCCCTCGTTCATCATACCAGTCCTTCTGCACGCTCCCTCAACATACAGAGTAAGCATACGGAGGACATGCTTCAATGGCACCGCGTGCTGACTAAGCCAATCATCACCAACTAGTTAAATGAATCCAATTTAATGGAAATACGGGACCAGGTCGTAGGTTGTTGTAGACTAGCATTATTTTAGTAGATTAGGGGAATGAAGTGAAAGTAGCGGCATTAAGGCGTAAAAGCCACGGCCTTTTCATGCTCTTTCTATCCTGACATAGATTTCGTTCCTAGGTGTGAGGCTAAAGCTAAGCTCCGCTCCATTAGAAGATTAGCTTAGTCCGGTTTGCCCGTTGACACATGTATCCTTTCTCCCCGCACTTGATCAATAATGGCTTCCACGCTTTCTCGACTCCCCTCGCAGGAGATTGCAAGGGTCGAGGATTACCTGAATGATAAGATACAGTCATCCGCAGATCTTGAGAGTCTGGATTCCCTGCTCTCAAATCTGCGTGCCCAGCATGAGCTCCAGCAGAGACAGGTATGATCTTTCGACTGCAAAATGCAGCAATTTTGCCCTTCTTTAAAAGCTGTGAACTAATTTCATTTCTTAAAGCTAGTTGAAGCGCAGGAAGCGCTCGCCAAGGCGACCAAAGCCTCAAATGACCACGCTGAAGCCGTTCGAAAACAAGTCGAAGCTTTCAATCAACAGCAGGCCGACATCGACAGGCGCTTGAAGATACTTACGCAATCGGAAACGAGCGATGAGGCAGTACGCATATTTGAGTCGAGCATGGAGAAGCTGCGGAGGCTTGACATTGCGAAAGGTTACCTGGACCTGTTACAGGAGGTGGAAGGTTTGAGGTATACGATTCGCCTCTACCGTGTCAACTTCCAAGCTGACATGGCCGCAGCAAGGAAGCTTTAAAGAACGTCAAAACAGCTCCTCGTACAGCCTTATCACCCTACACTCGCTTGAAAAATATTGCATCGTCATTGAAGGATGCGCAGTTTGCCGCAGAAGGTGCAGCCCCGCACCTTGTTGATCACACCGAGAAACTGGCCTCCGCTTTGAGAGAACAACTGCGAAAAGATTTCAGCAGTCGACTGCAACGAGCCCTAGAGAAAATGAAGTGGCCGGGCAAGGACCTCGTTCTCACAGACAGCTTGATAGAGGAGTGGGCGGAGAGCGTCGAGCTGCTCCTCGACTTGCAAGAACCGTATGTGGTCTTAACTCAGTTTCCCACAATCTTCCTGCAAGAGATCAAAAGACTGATTTGCGCACAATAAATTACAGAGAGCTTGAGCCTCGGACCCCAGCGTCGAGCATCCAGGCAAAGGATCCTCCGGTTTTGTTTCCATTGGAGGTTATGGTACATCCGCTTGAGCTTCGTTTCAAATATCATTTTAGTGGAGCAAAACCGACAAATAGGCTCGATAAGGTACGTGTGAGTCGCAAAGGAATTGGAAGCAAAGAGCACTGATCATGGTCACAGCCTGAATATTTCCTTTCTCACATTTCTGATCTGATTAGCACTTATGCTGGCTTCATCACGACATACATGCAACCAATCTTTGACAAACGGGCCGATACAGCCGGCTCTGATTTGGAGTGGAACTTTCTGAGTGCTTTGAACGCCTTTATCATTGCCTTGCTTCCAATGCTCAGGCAGAAAATCAGCACTTTCGTTCCCCAAGTCGTGAATAATCCACCTCTTCTCAGCCATTTCATCCACGAACTTATGAATTTCGATACTGATATCCGCGACACTTGGAATTATCTTCCAGATCCTTATTCTTCGGAAAACTGGAAAGGGTTAACTTGGGAAGTCTTGACTAAGCAAGGTTGGTTTGATCGATGGCTCCAGGTTGAGAAGGACTTCGCACTTTCACGGTACAAGGATATCATTGATACTGCAGACAGCGGGCAGATCGATTACGATGGTGTGGAGCCTAATGTGACGAAGCCTACGAAAGCGGCGATTCGTGTTAATGATCTTCTTGAGACTATCACTGATCGATATCGCCCACTGTCCTCATTTAGTCAGAAACTGAGATTCCTTATTGATATTCAAATCACGATATTTGATCAGTTTCATGAGCGCCTCCATTCCGGTCTTGAGGCATATCTTGCCATGACCTCGACCATCGGTCGCACTGTTCAAGGGTCCGACGCGCAGACTAGCCTTGAAGGTGTAGCAGGCCTTGAACGGCTGTGCAGGATCTTTGGAAGTGCAGAATACCTGGAAAAGAAAATGCAGGACTGGAGCGACGATGTCTTCTTTCTTGAACTCTGGTCAGAGCTCCAGAATCGTGTTCGAAAGAATACAAGTGGGGGCAAAAACGTTGTAGGACCCATGTCGGTCTCTGAGGTTGCTCAGCGAACATCGCAAGCTGTGGCAGACAATTTCAACAACGGCGGGACAGCGATGGCCGATGGTGCCCTATTCGATGAAACCGCATCAGCGTACCGGCGCCTCAGACTCCGCTCTGAAAACATTATCATCTCGACTCTCACCTCCGAGGTTCAGTCCTCCCTTCGGTCATATTCCCGTGTTTCTATGTGGTCGACGCTCTCAGCGCCCGCGACGGCTGCTTCGAGCTATCCTCACCCTCCATCATCGGACCTCACTCCCGCCATCCGCACTTTATCCTCCAGCATCTCCTTCCTTGCTCGTGCCTTGGGCAGCGCTCCTCTGAGACGGATAACCCGGCAGGTTCTTCTGTCGACCCAAACCTACATCTGGGACAACGTGCTGATGCGTCACACCTTCTCTGCTGCTGGTGCGTCCCAATTAGCGAGCGATGTCGATCATCTGTGTAGCGTTGTGGACAGCGCTCTAGGACAGCAGACAGCTGCCGTTGGGTATCAAGGGGAATCGAAGCGTGTGATCAAAAGACTAGTCGAGGGTCTGACTCTCCTATGTCTTAGAATCAAGCCCCAAGGGAGGACAGACGCCGGTGAGGTGGAGACACCGGAAACAGATAGTGCTACGCAGGAACGTCAAGCTTTGGCTGAGAAGGAATTGGGCCTCTGGGAGGTCGAGAAGCGGCTCTTTGCAAATAACGAGAGCGCACGGGAGGTGCTCTCGGAATTGGAGATTGAGACGCTGACGGAAAGCGAAGCCAGAGCGGTATTGGAGAAGAGAGTCGAGATTCGAAGCTAAACTGAAAGTAAATAATATGTCCCCAGCTGGACCTTTTTTTTTCGTCTGGGGTTAATAGTTACTAGGATATATAATATGGACAAAAAGGATATAGGAAATATCTAATCATGCCACCAAAAAAAAGTTTCATGGATTTGCCAATCTATGTCCACAGAATTATTGTGATCTTCGCAGATCGTAAATCTATGTACTCATAGGAGAGGCAAGAACTAAGACAGAAATATGTAACTAGTTACATCAAAATGTACATGTACTGTACATATGTATGTACATATAACCTATACATTATGGACGACAGGTCCATGACCCTTTTCGGCAGGGTTGCTCCTCCGAATATGCGCCTGAGATGGCGATTCAAAGGAAATCCCTGTCTTGGTCTGTGACTGCGATTGCAACCGCTGGACGATGGCCGGTCCGACCTCCTCGATCGCGCGGACGAGGCCGTCCATCGTCTCCCTCTTGGTGAGTAGGTTGACGACGCAGCGGAAGAATTTGCCTTTGCCGACGTCCTCCTCGTTGTCGCTGCTCGGAGGCGCGAAGTCGACCATGAAGCCCTTGTGCACGATCGCGCGCGCTATCTCCTCGGTGACTTTGCTGTTTCGCGCTCCGCGCTCGGCTTCGCTGGTGAACCCCTCATGGCCGCGTTGATACACGAATTGCTTGCCTGGAGCGTAGTAGAAGCAGACCTGCAGACACGGCGGCGGGTTCTCGCTGACTAGGATGAAGTCTGGGTGGTTTGCAACTCGGGTCGCAAGGTATGCGGCGACGTCGCAAGCTTCGTCGATCCGGCGTTCATAGCCCTCTGAGCCGTAGTATGTCCAGCTCAGGAACAGTTTGAGAGAATCACCGCGTCGGCCGCACTGGAGTGTCAAGTCCGCGAGATCCCAGACCTCGGGCGAGTCGACTCGGAGGTCAGCCTGGTCATCGGGTTTGCCGTTGACGACGGGTTCCGGGTCATCGTTGTGGAAGAGATAACCCGCAGGGAGGGTGTTGGCACGATGGAATTGTCGAATGTCGGCTCCGAGAAGGAATGAACAAGTCACTGGGACACCAAGCATCTTGTGAGGGTTGATAGCGATACTGTTTGCCTTCTCGACTCCTGACAGCTTGTGCTTCTGCCGCTGGGAGAAGACAAACGACCCTCCCCACGATCCGTCGACGTGGAACCACAGATTGTGCTTCTTGCAGATCTCGGCGATCTCATTGAAGGGGTCGAACGACCCCAAGACGGTCGTTCCAGCCGTGGCGTTGACGTAGAAAGGCGTTTTCCCTTCGCTCTTGGCCTTCTCGATGAGCCGCTCCAACTCCGAGGGGATCATGCGACCCTGCTTGTCAACGGGTACAGACCAAGCAGCATTGCTTCCGAAACCAAGCATCTGCGCTGCCTTCTCGATGCTGTAGTGACCATGAGCACTCGTAAAGAGAACAAATTTGTGGTCGCCGTAGCCATCGGTCTTCGTACTCGGGAACAGATTGTTTCTCGCAATGACAATCGATGTCGTGTTTGACGCAGAGCCACCTTGGACAGAGATACCCCCGGCATGTGGCCCAGACAGGCCAAAGAGAGAAGCTAACTCCTTTGCCGTGTACTTCTCAATGAGGGTCAGAGCCGGCGAGACCTGGTAGACGTGAACATTCGTGTTGAGAGTCGCTAAGATAAGCTCCGCAGCAACACCGGGGGCATTTGTCGACGCATACAGCTTGTCCAGGAATCCCTGGTGCCAAGTGTTGACCGAGTACCGAAGAATCTGCTTGAGGATCTGAAGAAGACCGTCTTGTCCCCGTCCTGAGACCGGAAAATCAAGCTTGAAAATCTTTCGGAGCTCCTCTGGGCTTTTGTAATCCACCAACGATGTGCTGGGTTTGCCTATATCCCCATTGGCGACTTTGTGCGAACCATCTTGATCTGCGGAGCGAATAAAAGGAACAAGGAGGTCTTGTACGGCGTTCAGGAGCTGCGAACAAAGAATAGGTTAGCATGACGTCTTTTCGATCCTAAATAATCGTAGTGCATAAAATCTGGCATTGGCTGTAGCGCAGATTCTGTAGGCAAAAAGATGACATGAACGCATCTGACTCAACTGGTTTTTTTTTCCCTTGTCACTTACACTCCGGACTTCTTCGGCGCGACCCAGGCCCTGATCCGCGCCTCTGGAAAAAGATAAATTATTTGCCGACATGGAGGGACCTGATCATAAACTGCTTCTATCCAGTAGCAATTGCAAATCTGCGGTGGTGTCAATGACGAGGGCTCATCCAAAAAGGTGGCTCTGTAAAATGGCTGTAATCCGGATACGAGAGGGACCATTCCTTCTTCCCCGCGATTGCGCCATCAGAGCAGTCCGCCCTTCGTGAGGGGCGGCCATCTGGATTACGTCACATCGTCCATGCCGTTCACTGGGCGGCTGTACTCGACTCGATCGTTCTGGAAAGAGAGTGACAGAAGGGGAGATATTCACTTGGAGTTGGGAAAGGAGTGAGATACAAGGCGATCAGAAGATTCAAGTGTCACAGCGCCGCGCATGTGTTCCCTGGGCCGTCGGTGCTTCTGGCCTGGTTTTATCAGTGCCCGACCAGCCCCGACTGTAGCCGCTTTTGGCCTGCAGCGTAAGCTAAACTTATCAATGCTCACAAACAAATAATTTTTTTTAAAAAGACAATCCTTAAGAGTGCGATCGAGTCTATCTTGTCTCAAGCATAATAAGTTCTTTGACGATGGAAGTACCTCAAATAGTGCCCCAAATTGGACATAGTCCTGCTCGGGCAGCATGGCTGCTTTAACATACCACGTGACTGAGTCGAATAGGAGCAAGAACAGCCAGGGACAGCTTGCAGAAGCCAGGGAGAGTAGCTGGGTAGTCACCAAGTACATTAGAAGATATCATCATCTACATATGTAGCATGAATTAAAAAAAATCAACATATTTAATCCGACGCCAGCGACCTTCGCCGATGGTTTAGGTAGGCGAAGATGCTAGTCACGTGATTACCAAGCCCGCACAAAGTATACAGATCAAAACCCCCTGACTTTGACCTCCGGAAGGTCAGCAATCAGTCTTGCTAGGAATCAAACCATATGGTCTCCTTCGTTTTGTTCACCTTGCCTCAAAATCCTCCACGAGGTGCGCTCTGGAAGCGAACCCATGTCTAGGCCCCGAGAATGTACCGCCTCTTTCTACTGTTCGGATCATAGTTGATCCGACAGGTGAGATACTCCAAGCACAGCCCCAACAATAATGATGCCCAGGCCCCATACTACTCCGGATACCTAAGTACCTAGCCATGCCGACAAATACAATCAAAACAGATAAGATGTTTATTTAAAAAAAATGACACGAATACCAAATAACTCATTTTTCTTCATTCAATCATAGATCTACTTCGTTTATAAATATACAAAGATGAACGTGATTATAGAGATTCAGGATGTTGCTTTTCCTAATTTCGTTGGCATGTCGGGGTGCCTTGAGTGCTATGCAGACTTTGTAGGCTTCGTGTTGGCACCCTATAGGCAGTATTGTTTCCCCTTCAAGCCTAGACGAGCCAAGCGAGTTTTTGAAGACTTCTACTGCAGTACATGATATGTAATCATGAGGCTGAAAATGTTGACGTGGATGTTTTTCCCCCCCTTCTACAAAAACTGGACAAGACGGATAATCCATCTGGTCTAAAAGAGCAATCCCAGACAGTCATCTAGTCAACAATACCTAACGGACATGCCAGTCAGCAAAGTTAGGACAATATGGACTCGGGCGCAGAGTTTGGTCGAGCCTACTCTTGCCAGGACTGGTCTCTCACAGTATCGCAAGGCCCAAGAGGCCGAAGAGATGCACACTATTCGCTTAAGAACAAGGTCACAAACGTCACCATCTACAGGTATCTAGAGCAGTGGACTGATTTTTATTGCTATTAACAGAGACGATCGTGATACTAGCGATGATGATGAGCTCCTTCGCAATGACCGTAATGACCCCACAAACGACGATGATCATGCCTCCTCAAATGCGGAGACAGATACAGACTCCAAATCCGAACAAACTACTTCCAGCAAACGCCAATATCTGAAAGGCGTCTACCTCTGCGCTTCCGCCGGTTCAATCGTTTTGCTGCTTAACATCATCCTCTTCGCCATCGCCAGCGGTCTCGCCAACTCAAGTAAATATCGCACCCTAAACAACATCCATAATAATACCTTCTCAACCACCGAGATTATCTATGAAGGAAGTTGCACCCTCACCAAGAGATGGGACACAGCCCTCCACTTCATCATCAACGTGCTCAGCACAGTTATCCTTTCTGCGAGCAATTACTGCATGCAATCACTCGTGGCGCCAACAAGAAAAGATATCGATAAGGTGCATGCAGAAAGGGAGTGGTTAGACATCGGCGTTCCCAGTACGAGGAATCTTGATGTTGTGGGCACTGGGCAGCTAGTGCTTTGGAGGTTGTTGTTGATTACGGCGACCCCCTTTCATTTGCTATACAACTCTGCCGTATTCGCCTCACTTAGTACAAACGAGTATGGCATTATCGTTGCGCCTAGCGATCTCGATGCGCAGAATGTATCAAATTTCACTACAGACGATTTGGAAAGTTGCTTTTCTGTCGTGGGGACCAGTTGGAATGACTTTGCGGAGAGCATCTCGAATGGAAGTCGAGAGATTAACCAAACAGCAATGTGTTGACACCTATGGGGGTACTATCTGGTTGTCTGGACGAGGAACTGTCGTCGTACTTTCTGATGATCTCCCTAATGCTGCTGACGGAGACACCTCCATTCTTCTCGGAGGACTCGGACAGATCCCCCAATTGCCTGATGGAGCATTATTTGAAGAATACCTCCCCTATGGGTGGCTATGTGGGAATAATAGTCTATCGTGCGACAAAGCAGGCTTTGACAGTAACATCGATGCCATCCAAGTCAAGGGTTATCCTTTTCGAACTCGAACCTGGGCCTTTGATCTAGCGACCTCAAATGGTAGCAGTATGGTGACATTCGTCTCGGGAGAGAACGGAAACTTCTCGGTCGATACATGTTCCAAGGAATCAATCAGCAATTCTACCTGCAGCGATGCAAACAAACTTGTCGACTGGATCCGTCAGGCTTACCCAACAAACATCCAGCAACTGAACGATTACATCCAAGCCAATAGCACAACAAAAAATATTACAGGAATTCATATCCACAGCACCGATTGTTCTGCAGTGGGTACTAATAACTACGTAGAAGATGACTACACAGATGCTACAGATACTCCCAAAGGGTTTTATTCTCTTGATGGATGTTAGTCAGTTGTTGTACAATCCGCCCATTTGTGTCACGATCATTGCTTGTGCCACTGTCAACGTGGTGTGCATGTTTTTGGCTGCAAGACTGGATCGAGAGGAGCCTCTGCTGACCGTTGGAGATGCCGTGGCCTCATTTCTCACAAGACCGGATCCTACAACGGCTGGGATGTGCTGGATGGGTAGGTGGGATGTTCATGTTTGGGAGGCGTGGAAGAGAAGACCCGCGGTTAGAACAGCAAATCACACCGAACAACGTCCAGTCAACGAAGAATATCCTGACCTCGTGGTCATTCCGAAGAAGTTGTCAAGACGAAAATTCTGGATGCAGGCGGCAAGTTTCTGGCGGTGGGTAGTGACACTCCTTTTGTATGTACTTAACCCTACCATATCTCGAATGGAACAAAAGATCGTCTCTGACCGACAATATTAAGGTGCACAACCTGCCTCGGCGTAGGCAGTTACCTCCTCGCGGCCTCCATCACCAGCGAAGGCGTCAACAACACCGATCTCAAATTTCTCTGGTCCATGGGCTTCGGCACCATCCAGCCCAAAGCCATCATCTGGTCCATCCTCTACAAATATCCCAATTTATCTGTCTTCAAATTGGTTTTTATCGCCAACAGTCCCCAACTCATCGTGACGATCAGCTACTACTTCTACAATAGCGTGCTAACAGGCATGCTCGCTGCGTCCGAATACAATTCATATGGCATCAAACGAAAACCTCTCCGAGTCTCATTCCCGCAAAAAGGAAGCCTCCAACGATCCACGTACTGGCTCACTGTGCCCTATCGATATAGCATCCCGTTAATAAGCGTCTACATGGTTCTCCACTGGTTGATCTCGGAGAGTATTTTTTACGTGCAGCTTGTGCCGTATGATCTCCACCAGCAGCCGCGATTTGACAGCAAGTTAAGTGCCCTGGGTTTCAGCCCTATTGCGATTATTTTTGCGTTGATTGTAGGAGGGGTGATGATGTTGGCGTTGGTGAGTCTCGGGGTGGGGAGGAGGTTCAAGTCCGATATGCCGTTGGCGGGGAGTTGTAGTGCAGCTATTAGTGCGCAATGTCATCTGAGTATAGATGATGATAGGGAGGTGGTTGCCTTGGGGGACACGTTACATGGGGGGAGACGGTGTCACCGCCGGTGTGGGCAGTGCTCACTACTGAAGGTGGTAATGAATATCCGGCGCATTGTGGTTTTACCTCAAAAGAGGTTACCAGGCCGTCAAGGGATAAAGTGTATGCTTAAATGGAGAGAAAGGGATCGTTATTCGAACAAGAAAGCTTTTCTTCCAGAGTCGTAGAGTCATGAATAGGTGGAGAAAGGAAAGTTCTTGTTTAATTAATCATGATATATCATGAAACCAACTTCTGGTAACATATACCTTTAATCTACGGTCTAATAAGCATAGATTTTTATAAACGTCTAAATCATTTTCTACAGTTGGACGACGGTGGATCAACCGTAGCTTGACTTGCGCATGAACCGGTAAGGTATCTCTCCACAGAATTCCTGATGATACCTCTGGCAATCCGGGGAAGGACTACCTAGGTAGGTATGATAACTGGGCTTAGCTCATGACAGGCATGCAATTGGAGAATTTCCACTCCAACCAACTGCATTACATTGCATGCTGCACAGCACAGACCACGCTTCTACCACGTGGACTTGCCAAAGATACCACCATATCAAAGACTTGAGGTATTTCCAGGGTAGATTTTTTTGGTTAATTATATGTAGGGACGCCATTTTCTAGAAATGTAACGCTTATGTGGAGGATTATAGCAGCAGGAAATGGCAGATTTAGGAGACATCTTCATTCCTCGCTTGTATTCACAATAGAATACAGAATATATTTTGCATCTACTATACAAAGCTTTAATATCATTCATGGAATTCTTCTATGACTGCGTCACGATTTGGCCGCAACAGCTGCTTGGGCGCTTCTGATCTGCTTTGATCTTTCTGCCCTTTCAGCAAACCGGGCCCTTGCGATGTCGATTCTCGACTTGGCCGGCTTCCCCTCATTATTTGTGTCGCCTCCAGCATTGCTCTCTATACCTTTAGCCTTCTGCTTCCATTCTCCTCGTCGTCGCTTGTACAGGTCCATGAACCAGTTTCTCCACACCGCTCTAGCTATAAAAGAGTCCCGCAGTGTATGTTCATGGTCGCATAATTCCTGCGCGATCCTCTCTTTGACAAAGAAGATGTCCTTAGTTGCAGGCCAAAGGGCATCTACAACATGGGAGCCGCTCGTGTCGAGGGAAAGCTCCTGGATATGACCTAAGAATCGTGGGACAAATTGTCGCCGAAACTGCACGGCTGATGTGGGGAGCGTCAGAGCCTGCTGCAGAACGTGTGAAGTGGTTGAATTCATGGCGATTGTGAGAAGGTCCTCCGTGGATGTAGCCAGGAGGCTCGAATACACAAGTTCACTGAGAGGGCCGGAAACACGTAGCATGGCCTGCGCAAGCAATGATCCATGGAACTGCTCTGGCGCAGCAACACGCTGATTTTCAGGCTTGGCCGCCTGTCCAGCAGCCTGTCCATCTTCGCTAGCTGGCTTGTCCAGTTTGAGCATCTGCCGCAGTCTTGTGGCGGGGTCTTTATCATAAGAAGCCTCCAAAGCCTTTGCAAGAGGAGTCGTGTCAACACCTCGCACGATACATCGTTCGATCAACGCCCTGGGAATGGTCAGCCTCGAGCGTTCAACGAGCGCTGGAATTTCTGGGATGATCAGCTCCATGTCAGTCTGTAAGTCATCCTTGCCAATTCTCTCCAAAACCCTAACAACAACGTATGAGGCCGTCTCGTTTCGTGATAGCGAAGCAATGCGCCCTCGGATGATGTTCTTATGAAAGTTCTTGAAGAGCTTCCCAGGGGCATAGCGCACGATGGCTTCTAGTAGCCTTGAGCCAACAGGATCGTATAGTAAGCCGCTCAAAAATACCGCACTTTGGGAACCCTCCTCCAACGATTCATCAGGGATCAGTCTTCTTGTAATGGACTGGGGATCCTTGGCGCTAGACTTTCCAAAGTGCGAGAGCTCCAGAGACAACAAGACCTGCAAGACAGGGTTTCCGATAGGGTGAGTTGACAGGGCCCTGAGATTGGTATCGTCAAGCCCAGCGGTCATGTCGTGCATGATCTTTTTCAAAGCAGTTTCAAACGATTCCGGAACAGGTCTCTTCTGCCCAATAGCGGCTTCCGCTTGCGATTCCGTATCGGTCACACCTAATTTCTCTTTTTTTCGACTGGCGACAACAGAGTCACTTGACGACACATCGACGGGTTCACCAGCTAACACTAGGAGCAGCACGCGAATCGTATGCGAAGCAAACCGCTCTGTTAGCAGGTAGCCCCAGTTTCCGTCCAGCTCTTCAATGACTTGCAGGAACATGTCGGCCAGCGACAGTTCCGGCTCCGCTTCATCATCTTCTTCATCAACACGTTTCTTTTTATCTCGTTTCGAAATTTTGTTTGTTACAGCGGGTGCCGCATGAATAAACAATGTTTCGCAGCAGTGACTCGCGAAGCGGTGCTGAACCAAGTGCAAGAAATGCCCGAGGAACTTGTTAAACAACCTCCGAATCTGGCGTGTGTTTGACAGGGAAATGAGTCTCTCCATAAGTCGTGAACACGATTGGCTGCATGCAATTTTCAGTTCCTTGCCCTTCGCTTCCTTGTAAACACTCTCGATGAACAGGTTCCGCTCCTCTGCATCGCGAAACTGATCCAGCTCGAGCAGTTCGTTCGCCCGCGAAAAATACTCTTGTTCCTCGGAATCGAGCATACCGTAGAATGGAGTGTCATTATTGTTGTTTGCTTGGGGAGCATCCTCGTTGCCGACGTCTAGTGGAATGTAGTCTTCAGTCTCGACCGCCGTCGATGATTTTTGTCGTTTCGGCGCTTGCTCCTCGGCGTTGTCTTCGCGTTTCCGTTTCGCTTCATTCTTCTTGTTCTTTTCTTGGGCTCTGCGGCCTCTCTTCTGCTTTTCACGAGGCATGGCGAGGATCAATTAATCGATTGATCCGTTGCGATCGAACGGTGAACAATCCCTGTTCAACTGTATTTTGTCGCTCCGTCGAGGAAATTTTTGGATAAGCGGTGGTCAATGCGCGGCTTATACCGCCTGCCGTTTGCTGTGTTTGCACTGGCAGCTCCCCGCCCGATACAAAATAAATACCTAGAACACTACTGATTAATGTCTTCAAACATTAATATTATTACTTTAGCTAGTCCGAACACTCATTTTTTTTTCAGAACGAGCGCTAATTCGTACATGGCAGTTCCTCCACCTTGATCCCTTTGAATTTTGGAAATTTTGCACACAGATCGTCACTGACAAAACGTATAGTCATACACTCAGGCTGAATCAAATGAGGGGAGTATAATAATACACGAGGGACAAAGAGAGAATTATACATTACACTGCTGAAAATACAGCAGACACGTGTCGTCCACACGTGATACGTTGCTCCATGGTCACTTTTCGATTTCCCACCCTGCCTTGGTAGCGAGGGATAATTTGGAAGCGAGTCTCTCTGTCGTCACTCGTCTTTCCGATGTCTGCGGGGGCGCTTATATGAGTGGGAGTCGGAGTATTGTTTCTCTTGCCAGTGCCAACTTGGAAGAACTCATTGCCTCCCCACCAGAGGGCGTCTTTGGCCCAGTTTGTATCTGTGAGAGAAGTTTTCTCCGAGGCAGTCAGGTGTGTATTGTTACCCAGGACAGCCGCCGCGTGGGTTGAGCCAACGGATATCTGGTTCAGGCGAATGGGTTTGACTTTCTTAGTCTTTTCGTCGTATTCACACAGACCACTAAGGGCCTTCACCTTTGTAGGACTGTCCTGTATGTGGGTCCACCTCCCAGTACCAAGAGTGCCATATATGCCTTTACCAAATGCCCATGTATCCGCTGTGAGAGGACCCAAGTTTTGTGCTGCTGATGGTTGATCTTCAGACGTGTTAACTCGCTGAGCATCCACGGTCACGAAACTGGTAGCGCCACCTGCAGCTATGCCTGTCACTTTAGCAAGCCAGTTCTTGCCGGAATACAGGCGCTGCAAGGGCAGAAGAGTCGGGGTATCATTGAATGGCGATGCCGGATCGAAATCAAGCCCCAGCTGTCCAAAGGAGTTGTCTCCAAACACGAATATGCGGCCATCTTTGTCTAGCAGCAGAGAATGAAAATCGCCGCTAGCAGTCTGCACGATCTTAGATCCTCGAGGTAATTTTATCTCATGACAGCTGTCCACAGGTCCGTGCGGACGGGTCGTCCAGGTCAGTCCAGGGATGCCCAGTTGGCCTTTAGAGGGATAGTGTTCAGTAGCTGCGGCTGCAGAGAAAACGCGACCAGCGTTCGTCAACAGCAGCACATGCTCCAGGCCACCACTGATAGACGTAACCTTTTCCCCTAGACCCAGCTGCGGCGTAAGGAGTCTGTAGCTCAAGCGAGACCTGGAAGACCAGAAGGGAAGCCAAGAGCTCTCTCGCGGTTTCGGTCCCGACTCTTGATATGATTTTGAGATGGGCAAAGAATACACATTTCCACCAGAGGACAGCGCTATGATCCTGTCTCGGGACATGGATATCGAGACTAGGTCTTTGCCAGTTAAAGTTTTGGTAGGCTTGAATTCAGTCTCTGAATAGCCCTTCCCCCACTGGATCAAATCACCGTTCTCCGTTATAGCAGCTCCTGAGGTCTCATCAAGCTTGAGGTCCCTGAGCAGCATGCCGTCAAAGTAACGTATGCGTTGGGGCGTCTTTACTACCGGTTCATTAGAGTCGGGATCCACGACACGATGGCTATTCGAGCCCCAGGCATAAACGCCAGGGTTATCCAATGCCTTCTTGACTTGGACATGCTGGTAGCTTAGAAGCTCACGATTCTCCTCCTCTGACAACGCGCTGTTCGTCCTCGATTGCTCAAACGTAATATCTGTCGGCGGCTCAACAACCGGAACACGATCGGTCTTTCTTTCCCTATATGCGTATACCGCAGAGGCCGCAGTAAATGTTCCCACCAGAATCAGGGCAGGGCCGATCCATCGCGAGGAAGACGAAGCGTTTCCGGCATCTTGCTGGGGGTTTTGAGAATAGTATCTCCTGGGATGTCTTGCACGCAGCTGAGGTCTTGTGACGCGGGACGCAAACCCAACGACACTTGCGGTTTGCTGTCTCGTCCTAGTCAGAAACATGGCTAGATCCTAGTTACCTCGATTAGTCCATAAGGGAGTGCCGTTGACAATGGGCCTGTAAGTGGCGTAAAGCAAAAACTTCTCCACTTTCAATGCAGTAATTTATCGACCGTTTACTTTACGCGTGAAAGCACTATTGCGTTAGCCTAGGCGGGACGGGCTGGCAGAATCCTCCACACTTCGGCAGGCCACGAATCGCGAACAGAACAGCTGTGTCCTAGTTTCCCGCGACTTGAGGGCAGAAGAGCTGTTGGGAGAGACCAATGGCCTTCGCTTGGTATATATCCAGTTCGACGGAGACGGATAAGTCCTGAAAGGCTTCGTCCAGCTCCCTGTGCCGGGGCTTGCTGACACGATGCGTCCGCATTCCGCAGGCTCAGTGCGGAGTCCTAGTGATCCGTCGGGGCTGTTACAGAAGGCTAGCTCAGGCTCTGATATAAAGGACCTGTCCTCGATTGGAGATGAAGCGAAGAAGGTTACGATAACTAATGAGCTCGATTTCAGCCGATGGTATCATGATATTGAGGATGGACTGCTTGAAGCTAGCTATGAGGAGTATCAGTATGCACAACCCTCGAATTAACTGATCGGTGTCGTTTTGGTTCTAATGGCTGGTGTCGCTAGGTCTTGTCTTCATGAGCTTGAGGCGTCAAAATCCCATCTCGACACTCTCCTCGCGGATACGTCCTCGACGCTTGAGCTTCTTTCTAGCTTGTCTGAATCGTTCAAGGCAGTTGAATTACAAACCTCTACTTTCCAGAAGCAGTGCGAAGGCCTTCTCTCTGCGCAGAAACGGAACTCTGAACTGGCGGATGACATTCGCGACAATCTTCAGTATTACGATTTCTTAGATCCTGCTTCTAGAAAGCTCAATGCCCCGGGCGCGGGAAGGGCCGTTCGTACGAAGGAATTCTCTGACATGCTAAGGCGCCTTGATGAGTGTTTGGATTACATGGAAGCCCATGTAAGGGTCATCTTGAGAGTGGATAGAGTAGAGTGACTAACAGCATGCAGCCCGAGCAGAAGGAGGCCGAGACATACCGCTCCAGGTACAAGCTATTACTGACCCGCGCTCTCACCCTCATTCGCGGTAATTTCGTGGCGGCATTGCGAGAAATTTCTTCTGGTGTTTCAAAGAGAATCGCGGACAAACAACTCAATGACACTACAATGTCCGCTCTTTTGTATGCGAAATTCCGTGTCGGTGCGTCCGAAATGAAGCAAATCGGTCTCGAGATTCAGAAGAGAGCTGTCCCGCCATTGGATCCGGAGCAGGGTACCGAAGCAGAATACCAAAGTCTTATGAACGAACTTCATTCGAGTTTTGCAGCGACCCGCGGGAAACTTATCATACCGCTCGTACGAAAAAAGCTCGCCCAAATCGCGCAAGCTCCCAGCACTTCTAAAGACCTCGTAGCGTTTGCCCGATCCAGCATCAGTTACGTACGTGGTATCTGCTTGGATGAATTCGAATTATGGGGGGAATGGTTTCATGGCCAGGACGGCTTGTACGATTTCTTGGAGTCAATATGCGAACCCCTTTATGATCATCTGAGACCAAGGATCATTCATGAAGTCAAGCTTATTAAACTTTGCCAACTTTGCACTTTGCTTCAAACTCGGTACCTATCAGATCCAGAAGAGGAGACTGAATATACCGATCCAAACCAACTGGACTTCTCAGTTTTGATCCAACCTGCACTTGAAGATGCACAGACTCGTCTTGTCTTCCGAGTACAAGCAATTCTTCGAGATGAAATCGAGAGGTTTAAACCCCGACCAGAAGATATTGACTATCCTGCTCGCAATCGGCGAGTGGATCTCTCATCAACATCCAATCCACTTTCGGGCCGGAAAGTCTCAGAGGGTGGAACGGAGACTACGTTACCAAAGACTCCGAAAGTCGTCGACGAAGACACTGACTCGCCCACCGAAAAAGATGCATGGTGGGATTTTGACTCCCAGGCCGCATTCCAGGCTTGGTATCCCACACTGCGGAAGGCTATCTGGCTTCTTAGCCGGATTTATCGACTAGTTAACGTATGATCTCTTGCTGCCCAATGATTGTAATTTTTCTCTGCTAATAGGTGCTACAGTCAACCGTTTTTGACGACCTTGCCCATCAAATCGTGCACCAGACTACTGTGTCACTTCACCAAGCCAGCGCTCTGATATCGAGCAAGTCGTCAACAGTAGACGGGCAGTTGTTTTTGATAAAACATCTTCTCATACTCAAGCAGCAGATTGTTGCTTTCGACATCGAATACGTGACACCTGACATCTCTCTTGACTTCTCAGGGGTTACGAATACTTTCTGGGAACTCCGGGAACGTGGCGGCTTATTCAATCCGAAGAACCTTATGCGACTTGTCGGCCACGGTCTACTTCCACGCGTTGTAGAGAATATGCTAGACGCTAAAGTGGAGCTGGACGGCCGGCTCAGGACGGTAATCAACGATTTCACCAACCACTTCGCCACGAAGATGACGGCATCCTTGCCGACGAAGTTCGTTGAAAAGAACATGGAGAGTGGGGGCGCGATCAGCCCTACATGTCGAGCCATTGAGAAGGAGGTTCCGATCCTTCGTCAAGTTCTGGATGACTACCTGGACGACACACGGACCAAGGAGACTTTGGTCGGTGCGGTGCAGGACCGTGTCATACAGATATACGAAGAATTTTTCGAGAAATACACGTCTGCGGAGAAAAGCAAGGGGAAACCTGTCAGCAAAAAGGGTAAAGGACGCCAGGACGCCGTCTGGGACGTCGATACATTTGCAGAATGGAGCGAGGAGGTCTTCCGGGTCGGTATCGCTGGAGTCCGTTCTTACGACGATGATGATGATGACGACAACGACGACAACGAAGATGATTGTGACCATGACCACGAGGACGGCGAGGAGGATATAACTCCAAGCCGCAGTGTGAGCCGGAACAGCAACAGGATCTGAATGACTTGCTTATTCTTGTTTTTTCCCCTTTGACCTGCCTCAATTCATCATGGCAAGGTTCGTTGATGATGAAGGGCTTACTATTATTGTCGGATGCGGATATGTAGATACGGCTTCCAGTTGATACGAGCTACTTGCCTCCCTATCAGGTTGGCTAGCTACCATATATAAGTTACGGCGTTTTGGCGTTGTTAATAAATGGCGATGCAGTTGAGCTGCTACGAAGCGAGTTTTTTTTTATCAGACAAGTAATATATTTTTTTATCTTTTTTTATCTGATAATAGAAGTACCTAAACAACGAAGATCCTCCACTTGCATGCTAGTCGTACTCGTCATAGAACTGGGAAAGAAAAAGGAAAACCAGAGACAGGTATCTAGCGTGTAAAGATAAACAGCAGAAAGGAAAGTGAGGAAGAAATAGTCACAGGGCAGACGTTTATTAAAATGCATAAGAAATAACTGTAAGGTATAAAAAGAGCTGATAGGAATGTTTCAAAAGAGATCAATGAAACCAGAGAGAGTGAACTTCAGGCCGATAAGAAAGCAGACCAAGCAGAAATCATGAAACGAATCAAAGAACCCCCTCCACCCATCGTCAAAGAACGTCACGGATTTTTGCGTACAACTCGGTTTCGAGGAAGTTATAATTCGGGTCCGGTTCGCAGAATGGATGCTGCGAAAGGAGGGTTTCGGCAGTAGGTCGGTCAAACGTATCACTAGTCACGTTTCCATTAGTATCCGCTGCAGCTATTGCTTGTCCCTGTTGGATAATACTTACATTGTGAAGCAGTCATACATAAAGGCTAAGGCCGCAGGACTGATGTTCACAGCCACGTCCTCGGGAATCGGCGGAGCTTGACTGAGACTGCCCAGCTTGAAAATGGCACCAATGGCCTCCTCCTTGCTCCATGGTCGACGGCCCGCGAACATTTCCAAGACCACGCAGCCTAGAGACCAGATGTCGACCTTCGCACTGTAACCCTGGCCTTGGGATTGTATAACTTCAGGGGCCATCCAAAAGATTGAGCCTTGCATGGAGTTGGAGGCGTCATTTCCGTAGATATTATCAGATTTCTTCGATATACCGAAATCAGAGATTTTGCATGTGCCATCGAGGTCAAGGAGAATATTATCGGCCTTCAAGTCACGGTGCAAAATACCCTGGTCGTGGAGGTAGGCCAAGCCACTCAAGGTCTGGCGTGTCAGTGACTTGACAACGCTTTCTTCAAACTTCCCATGCTTGCGAAGACAACTACCGATCGAACCGCCGGGGATGTACTCAAGATAGATCGAAATAGAGAATTCACCTCGCTCACATCCGAGATATTGAACGATATTCGGATGTTCAAGATGCTGCATGGTATCGATTTCGTGATCCATAGCAGCCACCATCTCCTTGATCCGATCCTTATCTTGCCCGGCAGCCTTAGGGTTGATCTCCACCTGTTTTACAGCAAGAACCTCACCGGTGTCAGCGTTGATCCCAAGATAGACTCTACCATAAGTGCCCTTTCCAATAAGTTGACCGCGAATGATACGGAACGTCTGTTGTGGTTGGGGCCCATTATCTTGTGCAACGCTGTTTTGAGGAATCGGATCCAGCTGACTTATGCGACTTCCAGGCTTGGGGCTGATCTGCATAATCTTTGCTCCAAACATTTTGGTGCTCTTCCGGCGCAATATCTCGCCGGATTTTGCATTATTCGAATTGTGCACGCTCCGATTCCGATTGACTTGGGCACCCTTAGCGACCTCTCTGATGGACTTCATACGCGTTAAGCCACCAGAACGATTAACATTGCGTTGGGCAACATTATTTTTCATGGTTGGCTCATTCGACTCTGAAGCTTCAGCGTCATTACGGACTGCATGTGATGGTGACGAGTAAGAGCTTTGCATGTCTCTGCTCGGGTGACCCGTCGGAGAGGAAGGCGGAGAGACCGCCGTGGCTGCCAGATATGGCTCGTCCAGATCTATGTCGGGGAAGAAGTCGTCCAGATGGTCAATGACGCCTTCGACTGGAGGTCTGCTTGCCCAGATATCATCTCGAGCGAACGAATCTCTCCGAATAAATCTCTCATGCTCTGGCGATTGCGGAAAAGCGTCTGCGCCGGGAATGCCAGATGGCCCTCGAGATCCTCCATAGCCTGCCCTGAGTTCGCTGGGCACAGAAGTAGAGTTCTGGAATGATCGTCCCGGGGACATCTCATCTGCAGTGTTTGGTGATTTAAAGCTCACAGAGAGTCCTTTCCCAGACCTTGCTGCTGTGTTGACTGTAAGGGAAGGCTTTCGAGGTTTCGGCGAAGCTTCAGAAGAACCTGCAACTGGCTCTTTGTCCTTCGATTGGTTTTTCTTGGTTGACAAAGGAATTGCAAAGAGACCGTCATCTGAGTCATCATCATCACCTGAATCTGCCTTCGGTAATGGTGATTGCTGAAAGAAGACTTTCGTCTCTTCAAAATCGTACTCTGGGCCGAAAGACTTGCGAGCTTCCGAGGATGGTTGCTGCGTTTGCTCTGAAGAAGAGGCAGTCGTAGTCTTCCCATTCGCTTTAATAGTACTGGAATCGGCATCGGTAGTGGCATGAGTTAGTTGAGACATCTGTCCGGCACTTGTCCCCATAGGAGTAGTAGGTTGCTTGTTGACATTACCCATGGTCTCCTCGGTAATGAAGCTATGCGGTCTCTGTTTTGACATCTGGCCACGATCTTCTGGCCTCTTGCTTAAAGAATTTACCTTCTTAAGCGTGTTGGATTCGGCTGGAGCTGACGGAGGCTTACGGTAAGGAACAAGATTTTCAGGCCTCTTATCCTCAAATGGAGAAACGCGAGGAGTGTCAAAGTCAATGACCCCTTCCCGTCTCCAGCCGGTATCGCTATAAGCATCCTTTGGCGGTTGCAGTGAAGGAGGCTGCTTTGATCGTAGGTATGCGTTCTGTTTCCGCTCCATTTCACGCTTGTACTCCTCCTGCCGGGCAAGTAGATCACTGTTTGTTTCCTGGCTCGAATCGCCGACAGCACTTTCAGATAACATCGGTGTGGAACCATGCGAAGCGGAGTTAGCGGAATTTGCCTTCAGAGCCGGTTGTCGAGATCCAAGAGAGGGCGAAACAGGCCTGGCTTGAGCCGATATACGATTCAGAGCATCCTCGTCAAGAGGTTTCCTATGCAAATGATGTTGTCCTGAAATAGGAGATGAAGTATTCCTCTCAGGAAATGATACACCAAGTCCTGTGAAATGGGGAGTGGTCGGTCCTGTTTGAGTACCGCGAACATAAAACTTCAGTGAACCAAATGCGTCTGATTTTGCCCGCCGGCTGAGAGTTAATACAGTGTCATTCAAAGGTTCATCATGTTCAGTTTGTCCCGGTTCGGTGGTGAATATCTGAGCATTGGACCAGTCCAATATCCCCAGGTTCTGGCAAATGACAGCTCGCAAGCCTTCTGCGGTATCGATATCAGTGACATCTATTAAACGATAATTCCAGCCATCCAAAGTCGCAAAGACGTATTTCTTGCCTTTGGTGGCAGACTTCCCTCGCCCCGAGCCCTTCTCGTAGTCAGACATAGAGCCAGATAATGGGCGGTCTCCTAACGACATATCGCTGTTATTGTAGGCAGGTTTGATAAAAGGACTATGAGAACCATTTTGACGCATGTAGACAGGACTCGTCGGTGACTCCAGGCTCTGTTCCTCGGGGGATGGATGCGAAGAATCGTTGGACTTTGATTTCTTTTTGAATATGTTCAAGAAACTCTTGCCATGCTCCTTTGACTCTTGGGTTGATGAACGAGCACTATCTTGTGCCTGCTTCCGACCCTCATAAAAGCGCGGTATTGCCGAGGTTCCACGACCTACCCCCTGTGTGGAATCGGCGCTGTTGCCTCGGGAGTGTTCATATTTGCCATGCAAGTCACTCATTGAGGATGAAGCAAGCCCTGACTGGACAGGAATGGCATGTTGAGCAGCTGGACTCCCGCTCTGCGGACTGTCTTCGTGCGTTCGAAGTGTTGGAGGTGGAAAAGGTCCACTGTCACTGTACGCTGAGGGACTTTGCCTTCGAAATTCATCCAAACCGGAGAGGGCACTCCGAGAATATTCCGAGCGCATATGTGACGTGGAATCAGGGCCAGAAAGATCGCCAGGTGCACTATCTAGTTTTGGAGCAACAGGAGCAGTTACCGAACGCATCTGAACATTGTGTTTGTTAAGACCAGAAGGCGGTGCTCGGTAAGCCGTATTTTCATTACCTCCACCGCTGTAGCTGACAGAAAGGGGTTCCCAGCCAAGATTGGGGGAATTCTCCAAACCTCCGTCAGTAGAGGCGCTAGTCAAGAGTGGCTGGGATTCACGACGCTTTTGCATGAGATGGGCTGTATCGCTATTGCTTTCGTCATGAATCTGGCGGATGAGCTTGCGCATACGCTTTCCTTCTTCACGTTCTCGGGCCTGGTCCCACCCGGTTCCACTTTTGGCACATTCCTTTGCTAACTGGGGGTAAACCACCTGGTGCATTTTTCCAAGATTGCCCCTGCCATTGGCACCATGGCCGAGCTCGATAAAGTCAGCACCTTGGATCTCCAAGGTCTTGAACGTCTCTTGCCAGTCTTTTGAGAACCCATTCTTGGATAGCCAGGCTAGAACTCTCTCGAGCGGCCACTGGATAGCAGCCTCGCTTGGCGACATGCCTCCGAGAGATGTATTGCTGGCATTATGACGATGACTCGAAGACCTGGTCACATCGTTGCCATGGCTTGTAGTTGGCGGTTGGGGATTCTGTGTAGTAGCTGTCGAAACACCCGGAGACACCAGCTCATGAACATTGTCATGCAACGTATAGGACTGGTTTCCAGAAGACCTCTGCCGGTCTGTTGCTCCAGAATGACCATAGTTCTCATAATTCGAACGTGTATGAGAGTCAAACAACGGCGGTATCCCTACTCCTGGTCCAAAAGATTCCCCAGCAGGAATATACGTTGCAGAGGTAAGAGGTTGTGTTTCAGACGAGGGAGGCGGAGGGGGAATTGACAATGGAGCCGGTTGACGATTGTATGCTAAGGATTGCGACTGGCTCGAAGGGAGTAGGGACGGAGGTGGGGGAGGTGGTGGTGGAAAGCTTTGCGACATCCCCTGTCTTGCCCAATTCTGCCACCCTGACGAGACTGCGTAATTTGCGCCTGGAGGAGGACCCGGCGGGGGCGGAGGTACTATGCCGTGTGATTGCGAGGACGGGAGTCGAGGAGGGGGAGGAGGCAATGGAATGATATGTGATGGATTTTGTTGCGACGTCGACGGAGGGGGAGGAGGAGGAATATATTGCGGTCGTTGACCTTCCATGACGTCGGTATGGATGATTTCGAACGAGTGCGAGATCTTTTATCCTTTCTCAGGGAAAGGGAGCCCCGATTAGACCTGGGTTTGTCTGCAGAGACTAGTTTTCCCAGCCATGCACCAGTGAAACTCCAATTGCCATTACCATTCCAAGCGAATTAATTCATCGTCGATCGCCAATTCCCGCGATGCTCACTTAGAGGTGATGTAGTACGAAAGAATTCCCACCCAGGTCCAACTAAATATCATCTCCAAGACGTGACGACCAAAGCAGATAGACGGAAGCTTGGACAAAACAGAATGCCCAAGACTGACATGAAAGTCGCTGGTATGCCTCCTTGAAATGTACGACGTATCGGTCACCAAACGTCGTGATCACCAAGGATCAAAACACGACGCAAACATGGAGAAGGAGCGCTGAGAACCGTCTGTCATCCTGCATACCCCTAGAGCGTCAGAAGACTGATCGAGAGATCGGCCATGGGATTTTCCGAGAATGGATACGGAGTACAACAAGAGACAATATCACGAGACTGATCGACAACACAGGTCGAGTATGTGTCCAGACCAAGACAGAAACTTACCACAAAAGTAGCAGGGCGGTGGATAGAAAGCCAGTCACTCCAACTTGGAAAGGCGGGGTCCAATATCATCAATCAGAGGGGAAGAGAAGCCCCGCTCAGCTGCCAGTCCTGCTGTCCAAGTCATGCATCGAACAACTTATCTGTCACGAAGACCTGGGCGGAGCTAGGCCAGCGTCCGTCCTGGCGTAGCGGCGTATCCGTGATCACGTGGCGTATCTCCGGACTGGCAGCCGCTGACCCACAAGCGGTAGACAACACAAAGTGGGCTCTTCTCCTCGACGTCTTTCAACTTCGAGGACTTTTTAGCAGGTTGGTTGGGAACTGTCCACGTTGACAGGCAAAGGAGACTTGGATTAGATTCACTGTTTGTGCTAGTATTGCTTTCTTGAAATGGACAATGTCCCAGACTCTATTCAATATCTAATCAGCTTTGGCTAAGTTACACATTAAGCTACGCCATGCTGCCGACGCCTTCGGCTCGTGATCCATGGGAGACTGGATCTAGACCTTACTACAAATGAGAAATACTGGGTCGCGCAGTAGGGTTTAGGAGCCAAGCAGCGGGATGTCACTACTGCTCAAAGCTCCGCCACAATGTACTGTACACCATGATAATATATCCGCTCCTATGCCTTCGCATTGCTTTTCGCGGCGGCTGCCGCTGTCGACTTCAGAGCTGCAGGGGCGTCTTCTTGCGGCATATATAATTCCACGAGCTGAACGAGTCAGCAAAACTGATCCGCCGGTCAGGTTTCTATATGATACTCACCTGCAGACACGGGGCAGAAGAAAAGACTTCATTCCCGAAGAGTCTCCTCAGTTCATCCCTAGTCCTTACCTGGTATGTCTTATATTCGTCTTTCTTCGCGCCAAAGGTCGAGGGGACGTCCACGAATTTCCAGGGTTGGATGTCATTGTAGCTCTCTTCCCAACCATGGATGTAACGCTCGATAGTGTACCCATTATTGCAGATCACGAATCTGGACCCGGTCAATGCTCCATCTCGAGACTGAAAAAAAATCCTTCTGCACACAGGTTCTGAGGCTTACACGATGGGTTTCAATCCTTTCCTCAGTATCGTGCTCATCTCCTGTACAGTGAACTGGAAGCTACCATCTCCCACGAAAAGGATTGTCCTGCGATTGTTCCTCTCCTTTGCTGCCAACGCGGCTCCCTGACAAGCTCCAACTGAATATCCAATGCTGCCCCACAGAACTTGACTCAGCGCAGTGACCCCTTTCGGAAATCTAGTCTCCCAGATGCCAAAATTTGCTGTTCCCGTTTCCGTTATGACAATGTCATTCTCTCTCAGCCATTGGCCAACAGTGGGCCACAACCACGCGTGAGTTATAGTCGAGTCAGTGGAGGTCTGTTCAGCTGGGGGGATGGCATTTGTGATCTTGGGAATGGGACGAGTGTTCAATTTTCGCATTCTCTGGATGACTTTCCGCAATACCCCCTTCATGTTGATATCAGGATACTCCGAGTATCGCACTCGCACGTAGGTACTGTGAAAGTCGATAGTGTGCAGCTGTCCAATACGGTACGTAAATCCGGCGGTATTAAAATCGGACTTGATTGCACCAATGCTGAGGATGAGGTCAGAAGATTCAACGACCTCCCGCACGCCCTGATTGGACCCGTCACCAGCATAAACGCCTCCGAAATTGCGATGTGTCTCATCCACGGCTCCTTTGCCCATTGGGGCCACAAAGGTTGGTAAGCCAGAAGCCTCAATGAGATCATTAACTTCGTCTAGAACGTGGTGCCGGATAGCACAAGCGTCGACCAGGATAATCGGATTCTTCGCCTCATGCAGATATTTCAAGATGACATCAACCACGTATTCCTCCTTCTCTGGATCGTTCGGAGGCCTGGTGAGGTCTATCGGAGTCTTCAGTCGCTCGCCTTCCACCTTCTTCTGAACTATATCCATTGGAAGAGCGATGTAGACTGGTCTACTGCGGATCCAACACTCCCGGATCGCGTTGTCAATCAATGTGGCCGTATCATGGAGATCATCGAGTCTAGCCACTGCGCATGAAATGCCAGCACTCATTTCCACAAACACGTTGAAGTCACCATTGCCGAGCGTGTGATGCAGAAGCCTTCCGTCACGTTGCGCTATGGTACTGGGTTGTCCGACAATATGAACAATTGGAACATATTCAGAATAGGCCCCTGCGATGGCATTGAGGGCAGACAACTCGCCCACCCCAAAGGTCGTGACCAAAGCAGAAATTCCGTTCACTCGGGCGTAGCCGTCCGCGGCGTATCCTAGAACGCGGAATCAGTCTCTGCCATCTTTCCATCTGGCATCTAACCAACAGACCGGCATTGAGCTCATTACAATTTCCCACCCAATCAAGGCCACACTTGGGTATGTAATCCAAGGACGCAAGGTTATAGTCGCCTAACAACGGCATCAGTCAATATCAGTTTGCATAGTCTCGATTCAGGGACTGGACTCAAAAATAATGAGAGAAAGAAGGAAAGACATACCAGGAACTCCATGGACTGAACGAATCCCAACCTCATAAAGGCGGCGATAGAGATATTCTGCAACATCAATGGGCTGCTTTAGTTCCCTTGTAACAATGTCGAAAGATGCCATGGCTCTATATTGGCGGAACAATCACTATCTGGATGAACTCACTCAAAAAAGGAACACAATACAAGAAATACCAGCAAACTGGCTATTGCTATATGAAACACATCACAACACAGCCAGAGGGGCCAGCCCCGGAATCCAACAGCTCTGTGACTGGATCATGATGTAATTCGTCGTATGATAGGAGACTCCTTCGGACAGAGATTATGACGTAACGCGCATTGCTGAAGAGCAGAAGATCACGTGAAGTATGAGCACGAAAGCCTCTGGCAGTTATCGAATATTATTTTTGTTTTGTCTATTCAAATTACTGTTTAATATTGTGGAATTCCCAGGCGCTTGTCTATTTTAGAAGAGCTCCACGACTGCGAGTCTCAGGTCTCCGAGATTCCTGGTACGTTTTTGGTAAATTTACTTAATCGCGGATCGCGGGGTGTGGCTATCGCTGACTCGCGACTCTGGTAAATAATTGGTCGAGACTGCCCTACCGTACCGTTTTTCTCGGGCCGGGACCAGACGCGTTCGTCTGTGCCTCTTAAATCAGATTGGCCCTAGGCTCTTGACTGAATAATTCACGCAGGAAAAGATCGGGATATAATTGAATATTTGGCGATCTGCTTCAGCCATTTGATCTCCACTGTGCATATCTGCATTTTCCTTTTTTTCTTGCTGACCGCACGAATGTCGGAGGGGGGTAAGAGACAAATGACGGATCAACCGTCAGACAGGTCGTCCAAGAGAAGAAAGGTGAGTGGTATAGAGTGGTATAGGGAGCACGTTGCTCCTAGTAGCATTCTGTCGTGTGGAACGTAGGCTTTTACTTTGCAAACATTCAGATGCATATGCTATGGACCCTTTCTTAGCGAGAAGCTTAAGGAACGACTGACTTGCTTTAGGGAGGTGACAATTGGAGGAAACTGATGGCTGGACAGAGTGGCCGAATCGGCATCGAGAGTGGTGACTCAGGTGTCTTTGTGACTTGTGATATGGGCAGAGAGAGCAAGTGTCTTGCCGAAGCTCTCGACCTCTTCACTCAGGTCAGCAACATCGATGCATTCTGCCCTTCCTCGGTACAGTAGGCAGCAATTCAAATCCACTGACACAGCCATGTTAAATTAGAGCGTTGAAGCATCTAAAGGCGACCAAGGATCGCCTAACGAGTCGGAAGATGATGGCGGCGATGACATTGAAGCGCAGATCAAGAAAGAGGTGGAAAGTCTGCAACCAAAATCAGCCACTCCTCGGCTCTTTCAACCCATCAAGTTGGACGTCCCCTGTGGTAAGTTTGTCGCGACTGTCAATTCGAGTTACATGCCATGATTAACTGTAACTCCAGTGACCTTTATTCGGGTTGATAAATCTATAGATCCTGTTCAGCTGGTCCACGGGCTTTGTCTGGATGCGCAAGCGAACCCTGACCAGAAAAAAAGCCGTTGGGTTAAGCGAATGACACCAGTCACCTCGATTCGAAAGACGCTCAGTGTCAATTTGTCCGAGTTCGCTAAAGAGATCCTCAAACCCCATTTCCATGAAGGAAATGGGCCGAAGAAGGTTAGTCGACTCTCACATATGCATGAGCATTGGCCATTTTGACTCGTGGCAGTTGAGGACGATGCCACGATGCTACGAAATAGCAAATATCTGGATCGAATTTAGCCGATGTAGGCCATACAGCTGATATGCTCTTGTGACAGTACGCTATCCGTCCCACTATAAGGAACAATACGGATTTCAACAGGGATATCATCATCAAAACTGTGGCGGATGCAGTCGGCCCAGAACACCGTGTCGATCTCAAAAACTATGACTTGATGATTTTGGTTGACGTTCTTCAGGTGAGTTTTTCCCTCGTACACGTATATGCGTTCTTCAACACATACCTCGATTGTGAGTTCTTTCGTTTGACTGTCGCTTACTGTGTGCAACGCAGAACGTTATTGGAATGAGCGTGGTCGGGAGCGATTATGACAAACTGAAGCGGTTCAACCTAGCTGAGCTTTACAGTCCAACGCCAAAGCCGCAGGCTTCTCGACAACCAGAAGCTTAACCGATGTTAAATCACTGGTAAAATACACGCGGCCTCCTTTCACTTTTATCAACTGTTGCGACAACTGGAGCCTGTCCTTTGTACAAATTGTGGTCGCTCCCGAGTCCTGCAGCATGAACGCTATGGAGTCAACACTGGAAAGGCCATTGGCAGCCAGCAATCATGTATAATTGGAATGGCACGCAATGATGTTATTTCAGAACGACTGGTGGCCATCCAGGTACCAAGTACTACTATTTCTGTATCAAGCAATCTTGGTCGCTCGCTAACTTGATGGGTTCTCCCAACATTCATATGCTTAGCGTCGCACGAAGAAGACTTGGCAGATGTGAATGCCATCTTCTCAAGCGCGCCGAAATTATTTAATGAAGTCATCCGAGTCTTAGTACAGATGGAGACCGTAACCCACGACATTGTAGAACGGCTTTGGGAGCACTCATCTGCGATGTCTGCTGGATAATTCCTTCCAATCGGAGCGTTCGCCTCCCATTTTGCAGCGAGTTCCTGACGTGCCCAATGTTCCCATTAGTTTGCAGGTCTTGAAGCGTTTAATTTTGGTTCTCGCCAATGCGGGCTTGTGATTGGCGGACCCCAAGCGAGCGACAGGGCAAATGCATAGCGAGTCCGCCAGCGCTTTCCTTAGTCGAGGATCTCTAGGCGAGTCTGAGCTCCACTGCGATCCATCATCCCATCGTTAATGGTCATCGCTCTCGTTGTCGGGATCTACCCGGCCCATTTGCCATTCTGTGAGTGTTCTGCTGCATGCTGCTGACGGTTGGCCTCGACCTCAGACGATCACAAGCCGTTCAAGGCTAGCCTGTTCTTTTTTCTAGCCAGCATCAAAATATCCATGCATTGAACATATCACTTTTCTTTCTTTCGGACTACATGGGCGTACCTCATCTGGCGGAGAATGTCCGATTATGGATGGAGTCCGGGGAAGGCACACTGATGCCACTGGTGATTCGATATTCTTTTTGTCTACCTAACGGAGTACCTCGGCCCTGTCTCGCGGTTCATTAGTCCGTAAGTGCTGTTCCTAGTTACTTGCGATGTGGCCCTCTACGTCATTCAAGACGTCTCTATTCTTTAATAGTTCTTGGCCTTCTTTAGTGTTGCACGGTGTCGTGTGAGATGAAATTTGATGTCGCCTTCATCAGTTGATATTTGACTTTAATCTACTCGCTCTCTCTCACCATTTTTTTTTGCTCGACCTGGTCCTAAAAAGAAATGCATCTACCTCCACTTGGGATATTCGATGGTCATTCCTTCTCCAAAATACACCACGATATCAGTGTTTCTGTTCCCATGCTCCCGGGCGACTCGGAGCTAAGTAGACTTCAAGATGTGGTTCACTTATTGTTTCCACCTACAGTCCATATCCAGAATGTGCACACGTTGGAGGGTCACATACACCATCTTCGCCTGATAGAATTGTCGAATGGGCTGCAATTAGTCCTAAAATCTTCACCACCATCGACAATCCCTCTGCTGCGTCGGGAACGCCTTTCTCTGGAGACAGAGGCTCGAGCACTCGCATTACTCGGGCAATGTGCGAATCCGTGCATCCCTCAGCTCTTCTATTACAACCCGCAAGATGGCTCTCTAGGCACAACGTTTCTGTTGCGACAATTTATGGGAGGTTCTACACTTCTCGAGATGGAACCGTTACTCACACCCGAAAAGCGGAAGGATATCCAACGGCACTTGGGTTTCTTGATCAACCTGATCGGTCAACAGGTTTCGACGTCATTTGGGACCCTTGAGAAAGTTGCTTCTGGGGCCGGGAGCGATTCATGGCGTCAAGCCTTCATTTCTCTTTTTGAAGAGATACTTCGTGATGCGGAGGACATGCTCATTCATCTCCCATATGCGGAGATTCGACGACAAGCTATCCGTCTGTCTCCCACACTTGATGAAATCACCTTGCCACGCCTCGTGATTGTCAACTTCGGCCGTCCTTCTCAAGTCCTTATCGATCCAGAATTGAAACAAGTGACGGGCATTGTAGGCCTTGGAAGTGCCCTCTGGGGTGACATCCTGATGGCTGAGATTTTTGACAACCCTTCAGATTCCTTTTTTGAGGGGTTCGGATCGAATATCCCACACAACCAGTCCCCGAACACCCGTCTTCTCCTGTACGTTATCTCGGAATAGATTCTAATTCAGTTTCTGCGATGAAAGACTGACTGCGTTCAGCTACGCTTGCTATCGCTGCGTGTATAAGATTACGGAGCTCTATTATCACAACAAAAACAGTCTAAGTGAGATTCAAGCACGAAGGAGATTGACGGAGATTCTCAAGGACATGGCGGCCACGGAATATGAATGACACATCCTGCCCTTTCTATATCCGATCTTTACGACGAGACGGCGCGGCTGGAGAACTACAGTAAGAGATATAGCAAGGAATATAGTAAACCATGAAGCACATTAACAAGACGTATATGTAGCAAGCGCACTCGGTAGCCTATGTGCCAAAAGCCAAGGTATAAACTAGGTATCTTTCGCCAAGCCAGCTAAACGAAGCGAGACCTGTAACTTTTTCACCACAGGTAATTCCACCGACAGATTTAAGACTTTCATTTGCAACGGGCCCCAAATTCCCCAAGTTCCGAGTGGCGCACGTTGTGATCTGCTAGGGACATTGAGGGGGTGGGATCGAAAGAGGAACTGGCTGTATCACCCCCTCATGTATAGTTGAACTGGCAGCCAGGTTTAGTACTGAATTCTAATGCTAGAGGTACCTAATAAAAGCGTATATAGAGATAGTTGAGCTGATAGTAAGACAGTATGACACAGAATTGTTGCTATATTTAGCATGTCAAAGAAAGCCCTTAATAACCTATGTCGTAATTTGGGTGGTAAATCTGAATGCCAGTTTCACGATATGTAGTGATTTTACTAGGCAACGTTGCCATTAAAAATCAGATGCTTCTGTAGAATTGCTAGTACTATTAATGATCCTCCGTAAGCTCTTAGAGGAGGGGTAATTTGAGGCCTTACCTGATCAAGGAAAAAGATATGCACGGGGCAATCCCTATCGACCACCGCGCCTTCCACTTGGGCGGGGCGGATCGCCAAGCGGCTCCGTTCATGCGTCACTCTACCGGCCGGGCCTTGCTGGGCGGAACCAGGTCAGTCAACTGCATCAACACCTTTCAGTAATCGCGCTCGCTTTGTCGACTGCCTGCCTGTTATCGCATGCAGCATAGTCTCCCCTTTTATTCGCCTGTTCGTTACGCTGGCCCTTGATGGCTCACTTCCTGAGAGGCAAACAAGCGGGGATCCAAAATGACCTGTCCGAGGGGCTGGCCCCGGACCTCTTCGCGATTGATGATGTATCGCACTTCCTCTCTAGCGAGTTCCTGAAAGGATTGGAAACTAACATGCTGATATTTAGTATGCTCGATACGGCATCAACTCCCAGATCAGTGCTATCGCATACGATCCTGTCCAGTCTCTCCTCGCCGTAGGCACCAATGACACTCAGTTCGGGAGCGGCCAGATCTACGTCTTTGGGCAGCGACGGGTATCCGTTGTCTTTCAATTCCCACGGAAAGCGTCTGCCAAATTCCTCCAGTTCTGCGCCGACAAACTGGTCAGCGTGGATTCCAAGAGTGACCTCTGTGTCTTTTCGCTCGAGACGAAACAGATGCTTGTATCCTGGGCTCCTCCAAGCCATGTTACAGCGTTACTGACTGATCCGAGTCTTGACTACGCCTTTCTTGGTCTCCAGAATGGTAAGTATTTTGATGCCAATCTTCTCAGAGGCTCAAAGATTTACTGGTTTTTCTAGGCGATGTCATTGCGTACGATCTCGATCGTGAAACCTTGACTCCCTTCAAAATACCGAACCTATGGTTAGAGCGGAATCCGCGAGTGCGGCTTACTCCAGTCATGTCCCTAGCGTTCGCACCAAGAGACATTGGAAAGCTTCTTATCGGATACCCCGAAGGTGCTGTTATATTTTCTGTGAAACAAAACATAGCCCAAAAGTATTTCGAATATGAAGTTCCTGCGGGTGCTGCGGGTGGTGACTCGGACCCGACACGCTCACGCGAAGCACGCAAACCACGACTGACCAAGGCTCTATGGCATCCAACAAACACATTTGTCCTAACTATTCATGAAGATACGAGCCTGGTTTTCTGGGATGCCAAAGATGGCCGAGTGGTCATGGCAAGGAGTCTCGAAGATGTCAATGTCGACCGGCCGGGGTCACGTTCAGAGAGTCTAGGATTGACCCCTGGAACCTTTGCACTCAAAGAACCAATCTTCCAAGCTGCTTGGTGCGCTAAAGAGAACCCTGACGATACAGGACTATTGATCGCCGGTGGTCGTCCAACGACTGAAAGAAACAAAGGACTGACCTTCTTGGATCTGGGACCGACGCCAAATTATCAAACGTCTTCCTGGCAGATGCTCTCGAAACACTTCGAGACGCCCAAGCGTCGGGTTAATCTTCCTACACCTCCGGGTGCGGAAGTTGTTGATTTCTGCCTTATTCCGCGTTCGTCTCCCTACTTTGCTGGTGCCCACGATCCAATTGCTATCATTGCTCTGTTATCATCCGGAGAATTGGTAACCCTTAGCTTTCCAAGTGGACATCCTATCTCCCCTACAAATATGCTCCATATCTCCCTTTCCTTCGTCCATCCATTCGTGACCAAAATGGTGCTCGCTACTGTTAGTCGATCAAATTGGCTTGGGTTGAAAGAGAAACGATCTCAAGGCCCCAAATTCCTCCTTGGAGGAGCCGAAGCTAAGAAACTCTTGAAGCGTTTTGAAGATCGTAATATCGTTGTAACAGCTCATGCTGATGGAGTGATTCGTCTCTGGGATGCTGGCCAGGATGATGAGATAGAAAATGGGGAGGTGGTCCAGGCAGATTTGGCTCGCGCTGTCGGTCGCGAAGGAAACATCGATGTCACCCAGATGTCTTTCACAGGAGTGTCAGGTGAATTGTCGGTTGGTCTCAGAAGTGGAGAGATTGTAGTTTTCAGATGGGGACGAAACCAGAACGCCGGACGCGAATTTCCTGCAGGGGCAAACGAGGGACCTGGGAGGTTGACGAACATTACACACAGGACCGATCCCGCTCTTAAGGATGGACTCCTTCCACTAACCCTCTTGGAAACGCAGCATGGGCCCGTTACTGCACTCAAGCATAGCGATGTCGGATTTGTTTGTGCTGGCTTCGAAGAAGGTAGGCTTGTGATCGTCGATCTCCGCGGCCCTGCGGTCATCTACGATGCCGACATCCGCGACTTTGTGAAGGTGCACAATAAGCGAAGCAGCTTTATGAAAAGTCGCACACAAGATGCTCCAGCCGCGGAATGGCCTACCTGCATTGAGTTCGGTGTTTTGACTCTGGAAGGAGAAGGTAAGCTAGAAGGAAATATGTACTTATAATAGATAAAAGGTCGTGCTGACAACATTGTCTAGATTATTCGAGCATCTGTTGTTTCGTTGGGACGAATCGGGGCAACTTCGCTACCTTTAAGATCCTGCCTGCAAGCAATGGGACGTTTTCGGTTTCTTTCGCTGGGACTTTATCACTTGAAGATAAAGTCATTAGCATCCATCCTATTGACGCAGACTCGGGTAGCCCAGCGCTGGCGACCCAGACTGCTGTGTCCGGCCTGAGAAATGGCGACAAAGTGAATGGGGTTGTTGTCGCTGTAACTCCATCTGGTTGCAGGATCTTTAGACCTGCAACGTCGAAAGGAGCTTCCAAAGAATGGGATGACATCCTGTGTGATTCTGCAGCTGTTGTAAAAACTGAGGGCAGAGGCTACAGTCTCGTTGGCCTCTTTGGAGACGGAAATGCTCATGCGTATTCTATTCCGGCTCTCAAGGAAATTGGATGTGCCGGGATCAACAGTATCCTGGATATAAGACGACTTTCGGAAGCCCAGATATCTCCATCAGGCGACGTTATTGGCTGGGTTGGGCCTTCAGAAATTGCAGTATTCAACGTCTGGGGCACTGGAACCGGACTGTGGGTGACATTTCTGGATCCTAATGTGGGTAGGTCTAAAACTAACAAGTGACAGGAAACCTTCGGAGGATAAACTGTTTAATGTAGAGGCGGCCATTCCTCCCCGGCCGACTATTTCGAATCTGCAGTGGATCGCAGGGACTCAATATGTTTCACCAGCCGATATGGATTTGCTGAGTAAGTCATCCACCCAGTCTGACACAGTGCTATTTTTGTTACTTTCTTTTCTTCTAAATTGCTATCTTACTCTCCATATCTGACTCTTCAATACAGTTAGTGGTCCTGATCGACCTCCTTCGAAGCGGATGTTGGAACAAATGCGGCTTGAGGAACGTGAGCGGCGCAAGGCTATGCGAGAGGGCCGCTCCGCTACTCAAAGCTCAGCCTCCGGCTCAGAAAACGAAAGTTACTGGGCTTATATGCAACGGCAGGTGCAAGAGCGAACAGAAAGGCTTGGGATCACGGGCGACAGCATAGAAAGACTGGAGGAAAACAGCAGTAGTTTCGCCAATGATGTGAGCAAGTTCATACAGAATCAAAAGAGGAAAGCAGTTCTTGGTGGTAATGTTTCCCTGCCCACATTCTGCATACAATTTTATGGCATTAAGATATATTATGATGGCAAGCTGACACAAAATGGTTAACAGCTCTAGGATCGAAGTTCGGATTCTGATATGAGATGGGTTCATGTTTGTAATGGTTTCTCGGCTGGACTTTTATTGTTTATTTGTTTTCTGTCTCTCTTTCTTCAAGTCAGGTCTTAGGTGTTACTCTTCTAGAAAGACGAGGCTCCGTGATGATACCAATGAATAAATTTACAGTTTACCAGTGACACTAGTCTACAACTTCATATTCCGGATTCTTACGAATACCCTACTCGTTATTCATATCTTAGTGGCGTTTGAAGACTAGATCACACGTGATCAAAAAAAATTCTGTAAATTCACTATCTCTTGCTTCTGAAATCCCCACTATGTGTGTTCCATCCTTCTTTGTATTGTTGTGAGCTACCTCTCTGGAAGGGAAGTGAATACAGTTAGAAGTTGCCAGAGAAGGATGTACAACACGGGGCTTAGCTAGATGTCCTTACTCGTTGCAGTGATAGAGGAGAGACAGATTCCCCGGATCAGAGCAGATAGTCACTCCATCTCTCTTCAAACTCTGTGAAGATCGATTGCTTTGTTTTCCTCTCGATATATCACTACCGCAATATGGAATCTTGATAATCCCCAAACATAGGAAGTTAAGAGGTCTGGCTGTCCTCGATAGATATAAACGTTAACTCCAGACGAATTAAGGAAATAGCATTCAAGTTGTAACTTAAGCTACCTAACTGTTAAGACGACAGAGTTCCTTGAACCATCAAGATATAAATTTATAAAATACTGACCCCCGACCATCTAGTCCATGAAAACGCGTCGTCCGTGTGGAAGGGGATATTCACAAAACAGAAAAAAAACATCAGAAACTCGTCACAAGCATGCGTGGTGAATCATAAATCGCCATAAGATATAAATCCAATATCCAATATCCAACCGCGCAGTGAAAGATAAAAAGCGACGGGCTTAGTGTACCATCACTTCAGATTGATGTTGCTGCGGCTCCTGAGCCGACGTGCCAGCGTTCTCCTTTGACTCGGCATCATCGGCCATGTCGACATCCTCGTCGCCTTCTCCAGGCTCCTCCACTTCCAGGTCCTCCTCTTCGTCCTCAATGCTCTCGGACTCGAGATCCTCACTTCCAGCCTCAGATTCGTCATCTTCGTCCATTTCCTGATCGTCGCCTAAGCGTTCGGCCTCTTCAAGTTCCCTCTTAAGGGCTTCCTCTAATTCAGCCTCTTCCGCACCATAGGCAGAGCCATCATCGTCCAAAGCATCAGCCTCGGGCTGGTCAGGTGGGTATTCTGCTGGGGCAGACTCCTCGGAATCCCTGGAAAAAAAATTAGTTTCCATGATGCATGCCCAAACCCACTTGCAGTACGCACCATTTAATGGCGAATCTCGTCACTCTCGGTTTCTCCGCGAGAACATTGCGGCGTATCCTTTCAATGATCGGTTTCGCCGGCGGGTCTGCGTTCAGGTCATCCGAGTCGTACTCATTGTTGACGTAGTATCCCACACGGACGAACTCGCGACCGTCGTAGCTGCACGTAAGCAATATCACAGTAACACCCAGGATCTCAGATGTGGGAATGCGCTTCAGGTCCGGTGGGTCGGCTTCGAAAATAAATTTGTTGACTCCGATAGGGATGGGGCCAACCAAGAGGGAGTCGAGCTCCTGGTCATATTCAGATCTGAATAGTCAGAAATACGATACACTTATGTTTTCTAGAGGGGCCTACTTACGAAGTGGCGGAGCCGACATAGGTAAGTTTCCATTCAAGGTCTGACCATCGTCAGCAACAGGAATCGCGCAACCGGAGTCTTGCCGCAAACTTACCTTTTTGAAGCTGTTCAAGACACTCAAAGGTGATCTCGAACTGGTAAGGCGCCAGAAACGGCGCAGGGTTGTTGAGAACCTTGACGCCCAGAAGGGAGACGGCGGACATTGTGGGCCAGGTTGTTGTTTCGGAAAGCACACAATAAAAAGAAATAAATCTCTCAGTTATTCAAATCACCGTTTATAAGTTAAATGAAGCCACAGCGACTGGACGTTGGAGAAGACAAGACAGGGCGGCATTAATATAGGGAGAGCACGTATAAATGTCCCCCGACGCGCCGCCTAACCTTCGACCGCGTCTGGTATCATTGTTCTCGCGCCTGCCGCTCCAATCACGTGATTCATCCTTCGCATGGTTGCGGCTTCACAATGCTATTCCTTGAACCATCGTGGCAACCCCATACAGTAAGTCTTCTTGGGTGCCGCAGTCCATACCGTATCCCTGCAGGAATCACTGGCATTTCTGGCATTTGCAGAACAATTCCCACTCTCTTGGGATTCTTTGTTTCACATTCCAGGTTAGCAACCTTTTCTGTGGCCTTTATGCCGCCCCTGAGATGCTGACTTTTCATGGTTGTCCAGGTAGAATTTTCGTTGGTCCTCGTTTTCCCTTGAGCAGGGCGCAGTTTTTGCCATGGCTGAAGATGATGCGGAGAAGGCCTTTTTCCAGGCTCAGGCCATGAGCGCGGATTCTGTGAGCTTTGATGGTCCAGTCGAAGGACATGGTGCCGAACACTCGGATTCAGAAGACTATGATCCCTCAAAAGCATTGCAAGATCAACTCTCCGCGTCTGTATCAGAATCCAAGCAAAGTGACACGCAAGATCCCTCCACAGTCAATGTATCCTCTGCTTCACACCCTACAACAGATTCTTCCCTGCCCCCCGATATGGAACAGACCCATCAGCACACAGACACAAACCCTTCCCAGACCCCTTCCAGAACCGATTCGAGAGCTTCAGCATCCATCCCTTCATCCGCTGTTCATGTACAACCGAAGACCAAAACCTTGGGCGGCTTTGTTGTTGAGGATGATGAGGAAGAAGAGGAAGACAAGGAAGAAGCAGAGTATGAGCCACCTGCTGTGCTAGGAGGTGTTGAAGACGTTGGACCTGTGTCTGCAAGCATGTCTGAGCGTCCCATCTCTGAAAATGCAAATGAAACTGTTTCTACCTCTGGTGTATCAATACAACCCCCTGCGCCAGACATGGCCAGCTCCAAAGATGTTTCTAATAACTCTTCTTCCCTTCCCACATCTGTCACTCCACAAAATGGTGGCTCTTTTGCCCCTGGTCAAAATATGTACAATGTACAAGCTGGAGACGTTACTGATAGCCATGCATCGACCCCAACTACCGCTGTCCCGTCAGCTTCTAGAGGCCGACTGCCTCATGATCGTGTTGGGATATTGGAGGATAGAATCAAAGAAGATCCCCGTGGTGATATGGACGCGTGGCTGGAGCTCATCAATGAGCACCGGAGCCGAAACAGAATCGACATGGCTCGAGATGTCTATGAACGATTCTTCAAAGTCTTTCCTTCAGCTGTAAGTTTCACTTATATTCCTCCTCCCATACGTTGCATGGAGCTGACTTTGAGAACAGGCTGAGCAGTGGGTGGCATATGTGAATATGGAATCTGAAAATAATGAGCTTTATCGTCTTGAACAGATCTTCAATAGGACTCTTCTGAATATCCCTAACGTGCAACTGTGGACGGTGTATCTCGACTACGTCCGTCGACGGAATCCTCTGACAACGGATACGACAGGCCAGGCAAGGCGAATCATCTCCGCGGCGTATGACTTAGCACTTCAGCATGTCGGAATGGACAAAGATTCTGCGTCTATCTGGACCGACTATGTTCAGTTTATTCGCTCCGGACCCGGTAATATCGGCGGTTCAAATTGGCAAGATCAGCAGAAGATGGATCTGTTGCGGAAAGCATACCAGAGAGCCATTTGCGTCCCTACCCACGCTGTTAACACATTGTGGAAGGAGTACGACCAATTCGAGATGGGCCTGAATAAACTTACGGTAACCCCCATTCACCTTTCTCTTGGAAAATAAGCTATGGTCTGCTCGAGCTAACACCAGTGTTTTTCCTATCAAATAGGGCCGGAAATTCCTCCAAGAGCGATCTCCCGCTTACATGACCGCTAGAAGTTCCTACACGGAATTACAGAACATCACGCGAGACCTTAATAGAACCACTCTACCACGGTTGCCTCCGGCACCAGGCTCTGAGGGAGACGTGGAATTCAACAAACAAGTCGAAATATGGAGACGATGGATTAACTGGGAAAAGGGCGATCCATTAGTCCTGAAGGACGAAGATCCTGCCAGCTACAAGGCTCGAGTGGTGTATGTCTACAAGCAAGCGTTGATGGCCTTGAGGTTTGTACCGGAAATATGGTTCGAGGCCGCAGAATTCTGTTTCCAGAATAATATGGAAACGGAAGGCAATGACTTCTTGAAGCAAGGGATAGAAGCCAATCCAGAGAGCTGTCTACTTGCCTTCAAACGCGCTGATCGGTTGGAACTCACCACTGAATCCGAGCAGGATCCCAGGAAACGCGGAGCGAAAGTCAGGGAACCTTACGACAGACTATTGGATGCACTGTACGACCTAATCGCAAAAGCTCGCGCCCGCGAAGCACAAGACGTCGCCCGTATCGAGGAGACCTTTGCAAGTGCTCAGGCGGAGAATCCACCCGTTAACGAGGATGAGGATGATGATGAACGTGGAAGCGAGGCTAAAGCGAAGGAGGCTGCGAAGAAGAGCCAAATCGATGCGATCCGGAATGCACATGCTGCCCAGATCGGGATTCTGTCGAAAACTATCTCATTTGCATGGATCGCCTTGATGCGTGCAATGCGTCGAATTCAGGGAAAGGGCAAACCTGGAGAGTTGGCCGGCTTCCGGCAGGTCTTTGCTGACGCTCGCAAGCGTGGTCGCATTACCAGCGACGTCTACATAGCGAGTGCCCTGATCGAGTATCATTGCTACAAGGATCCCGCAGCTACAAAGATTTTTGAGCGTGGTGCGAAACTGTTCCCAGAGGACGAGAACTTTGCTCTTGAATATCTAAAACACCTAATTGACATCAACGACGTCACCAGTAAGTATCTCATATCGTCCTATTTCGAGTTCAATGCTAATATAGTTCATCTTTAGATGCCAGAGCCGTATTTGAAATGACTGTCAGGAGACTGGCGTCAAATCCGGATAATGTACACAAGGCCAAACCTATCTTTGCTTTTATGCACGAATACGAGTCCCGATATGGGGATCTGGTCCAAGTTATCAATCTTGAAAACCGTATGCGTGAACTTTTCCCTGATGATCCCACGCTGTCACAATTTGCGCATCGCTATTCATCACCAAGCTTTGATCCTACGGCTGTGCGACCGATAATATCGCCGACTCAAGCCAGGCCGAAATCCGTAGCTCCAGCCGAGGAAGCGAGATCGGTTCAGGGAACACCTACTCAGCGGTACCTTGATGCGCCGTCGACAAATTCGCCCAAGCGGCCATACCCTCTAGATGACTTCGATGATGACGATGCAAATCGACCTCGCAAGTTCGCCCGTGCAGAATCTCCTCTCAAGAACGTTGCATCGCGGCGGGTAGACCAACAGAAACGGACCCAGCAGATAAACGGCGGTGGAACGGCTGGAGGACAGCCGAAACCGCAACCGTCAGCGGCTCCTTTGCCACGCGAAGTGGTTCAGCTTTTGAGCATCATTCCACCGGCGTCTGCCTACAACGCCGGTAGATTTTCGCCGGAGAAGCTGGTGGATTTGATTCGCAGAATAGACATACCTTCGTCAATATCACAAATCCGACCACCACAGCCGATGCAGGGCCTAGGCCTGGGCCACATGTCGACTATGGGGACACAGCCATATACTGGTAAGATTTAAGTCTCTCACACAAAATTTTTTTTAGCCTTGTCGCCAGTATATATTTGAATAGTTGATATCAATGGCACATGCATTTTCATTCGCCTGACTGTACGCGATTATCACTAACCACAACTTCTCTACAGGTGGCTACCCTACAGGTCTCTGATCGTTTAGTCGCTGGTCAATGGTAGCCATGGTCCTTTCACTGTTTGCACATCGAATAAGTACGTAGTTATCACTGGCTTTCTGCTTCACCTTATCTGCTCTGTTTAGTTGCCTACACGTCGGTTGGTTTCGGTTGTTATCGATCGTACTCTGTTCATTCCCACGGATTTGCATCTGGCGGTTACGGCGTTTTGAGGTGATCACTGATGCAGACGGTTGAATGACGCTGGCCTACAAAACCATGTACTGTACAAATTCTAATGGAAGGCAACCTAAGTGTAGTGCTGAATATACCATTAAGTTCACTTTAACTCAGCATTAAAATATATCATCCCTGTACAGTACGTGTAACGTAGTCTCATGCAACTCTCACTTCTCGGTCCCCGACCGCGTAGCCCTTGTATTGACTAGCCCGGAAAGTCGGCATTTGGAGGGCTCTTGCTTGTTGCTTCTTTCTAGATGAAACCCTAAAAATAAAGACTCATCCTCTAGCTTCCCAGGCGGAGGACTCATCATCGTAAGCAAAGCCATGAAAATATTTGTCCTTGTCTTCTCTGAGACCATTCAGGCATACGCTCAACGGTAGAGCGGACCTATAGAAGCGACTTTTGCTTGTTCATTGGTTCCGGCGTCTGTTTACCCTAGAAAAGCTATCGCAGGCATTAGACTTCAGTTTCAAGGAATTTTCATCGAGAACCTGAATCTGATCCCACAGGACATTTGCAAACAGGCTCCCCCGCTGTTTTCGTAATTGATTCTCCTATTCCTCCAAGAGACTCCTAATATCAAGAGGCCGACTCATCATACCTTCATCACTCTTCTGCTAGTCTCTTTCTTGACCTCATCTCTTCTATATCCAGACCTTTAAAGCTCTCTCTCTCTGGACAGCATTTTCCGAGAAGCTGCAATATCAAAGAGCCGGTTCATCATACCTTCATCTGAAGCTTCTGCCAATCCATTTCTTGACCTCATTTCTTCCCGTACACTCATACTTTCCTTTTCTGGAAATCACAACGGCTTCCCGTCACAACCCCTTTGTGAGGTCAGACAAGCCTGTGATCGGACTGACTTCTTCAATCAATTCTCCATCCTCCTGCAGACCCTCTTTCTGAGGCAGTTGGAACCATCTTTGCATGCGGGCTGTCTCGGCGTTCGTCCATCTCCTTGACAACCGCTCACAACATTCGTCGGCCAGGTAAACAGATCTCAGACAACAACAACCTTCCTTCATCTTTACGTCTCTCCAAGTTCTTCTTCCTCTCATACCGTCCCTGATTTCCATCATCATCATTCTATAACATCCGACTCATCAGTCAGGTAGGTTTGGATTTCTTCAACTTCCCTTTGCTTCCTCTTTAGGAAGGACAGATCACGGGTCTGCCGCTTCCTTCCTCACCTTCCAACGTTCTTCTTCTACCCGATCACAACATCTCTCTTCCTCTTTCCTTCCTGGCTTCGACACGCGTCATCCATCTTTCCAAACACGGACACGTGTCTGCCTTCCCAGACCTGTTGTTGACACTCGGCTCCCTTGGTGGACGCGGTCATCATCCTTTCTTCCACCCTCCAGACATCGCTCCAGTCTCTAATACGGGTCATCTTCTTGACTCTTACTTTCATCCATCTTATCAAGTCTCACTTGTCGTTCCATCTTCCTTAACTCATCTCTCTGTTCATATAGAACACGTAAAGTAATCGATCACTTGAAGACGGCCTCGCCTTCTATTATCTTCTCGAGGCGTGTTATATCCTGCTATCTGGTAAGTACACGCGCAAACAGCTGCGGATCATGTTGTTGTGATTTCTCAGTTCCAATCTGTCATCAAGCCCTTTCTGTCCTCCATCCTCAAGCATTCTTTCATGACTCTTTCATTATACGAAGCAAGCTGTTAACACGCCTTGTACTGTCAGTTTCGTATCAAGCTTCCTCTTTCACTAGCTGCCTCTCAATTCTCGTTGACCTGTCATCCTATTCCATCAATCTCTTTTTACCGGCAGGCATTTTTCCTTACCGTAATCGTATCTTTTGTCCACATCAAGGATTTGCTGGCTAACGCTTGACAGTCATGGCTGCCGAAACGGCCCGTTTGCAGGACCCCCTTGGGGATCCAGCCCGGGAGCGTCCGAGACGCGAACCAAACCCGTATAGAAACTTGGATTTGCCTTTTGGGGCGTTTCCAGTCAATGGTTCAGTAAGTCAGATTTTTGATAAGATATGTACAATACATTATGCACATGTTTGATGCTTCACTGCATTGTAAACGGGGCATGGCTACACACGAAACTGGTACTGTACTTCACTGCGGAGCCAACAAAAGAAATAATTCACCCTCCTGCAACGGGAATTCCCTTCCAATTCTGCACTCGGCGAAATATTGTGTGACACTGGCCGGCGGTGAAGCGCAGGCTTGTTCCGTTCGCTTTCAATCACTGAGGCTCTTCACCGGCCGCCTGCTGGAAATCCCCGTTTCACAGTGCAATTCACCCATTTCATTCGGTATTCTCCGACTGCTTTTGTGAATGGAGCATTGGATATTCACAGACATGCCCTTCTCAGCTATATAAAGCCCCTTCTCTCCCCCCTTCCGTCTGTTCTGTTCTTTCTTTTCTAACAACCCTCAACTTCCTTTCCTCTCGCTTGTCTGTACCATCCATCCTGACATCGACACACACCAACCACTTCTCTACCACTGTTTCTTCTCAAACCACGTCATGTCCAACCCCTCGAAGGATCAGCCTTCCAAGGCAGACGAAAAGCCTATTCCATCTGATCCCTTTCTCGTGCACCCAAAGGAGGGCAAACGTCTGGGTGCTCGCAATCAGTATGCTGACCCAGCTTGGCGTATGAAGTATCTCGTGCCTGTGAACACCGTTCCGCGTCCAGGCTTCAACACTACTGGTCGTGAAGTCGAGTTGAAACTCAATGCGTATCCGATCACTCAGTTCCCCACCCGCTCGGTGTGGCAGTACGATGTGAGTATCTTCCCTTCCTGTCTCAGCTTTCAAAACGATGCTTGTTGCCTATATATGACCAATCACAAAGCTTCTATACTTGACTTCCGTCTAACGTGCCATTCGACTAGATTACCATTGGCAACAACGAGAAGCGTGCCGTGGTCAAGAAGGTTTGGAACTCGAGCGTTCGCAAGCAGAATCTTCGCCAGATGATCTTTGATGGCAACAAATTGGCCTGGTAAGCAAACACCCCCTTCCATCAATATATCTTTTGGCTAAGATCAGTAGGTCTTTCCACAAATACGAGGACTTTAGCGCTGTGGTCGACCTCGATCAGGAAGAGGGTCGAGCTCCGACCGGCATCAAGCCTAACAAGTTTCGCCTTTTCTGTCATCGCACCAAGCAGGTGAACTTGGCCGTCATTGATGCATGGCTTTCTGGACGTCAGACCTTTGACGAATCGATTCTGGAAGCTCTGAGTGAGTTAAAAATCCATCTTCCCTTTTTTTTTTCTTTCTTCGCCTTACCCATAGTTTAAAAAAAAACAATGATCGCTGACAATGTGACAGACTTCCTCGACCACTTGATGCGTGAGTATCCAAGCACCAAGTACAGCTGCTTCAAGCGCTCCTTCTACAATGAGAAAATCGAATCCGAGGATCTGCATGACGGCGTCATTTGCTACAAGGGCTACTACCAGGCTATCCGTGCCGCCCTCGTAAGTCTATTTCTACGCTTCTTTCTTCCTTCATTTTTTTCCCCGACTTTGCTAACACTCATCACAGCCTGGCCGTCTTGTTGTCAACGTTGATGTTGAAAATACCGCATTCTGGGCGCGAATTACTCTCGCCGGACAAGCTCGTGCGTTTGTGAACGCTCGTGACTACTGGGAAGTCGGCCGCCGTACGCAGCCCAAGGATGACGGCTACTTCGGACACATGGGAACCACCGAGTGGAATCTCATCTACGATCGGATCCGCAAACTTGAGGTTCAACCATTTTACAAGGGTTGTCCCGTGAATCGCACTTTCTTCGTCAAGGGCCTCGTCCTGGCCGACACGAACCAGTTCACCATTGATTACAAGGACAAGGCCACTGGCAAAACCGAGAAGTTGACGATGTTCCAGTACTTCAAAAAGCGTTACAATGTCATTCTCGAATACCCCAACTTGCCGGTTGTTGAAATGACAAAGAACGGTGTCTTTTACCCTATGGAACATCTTGTCATCGTGGGACTTCAGCGTTACCCATACAAGCTCAATGATGAACAGACTTACCGCATGCTCAAATTCGCGGTTCAACGTCCACAGGCTCGCTTGGCTAGCGTCCAGGAATCCAAGAAAGCGCTGGACCATGCAAATGATCCTGTCCTGAAGTCTTTCGGACTCAAAGTCGGTGACGAAATGATCAAGACGAAGGCTCGTGTCCTTCCGAACCCCGAAATTCAATTTGCTAATCAGAAGCACAACCCCGGGGTCACTGGCCGCTGGGATTTGCGCGGCAAGAAATTCCTCAAGACCAACCGCGTTCCCCTCAAGTCTTGGGGCTGCGGCATCATCGTATACAAGCGCAACACGCTCGAAATGACCCAAGCTGAGAACTGGATCGACGGTTTCATGAAGCAGTACGCTGGCCACGGAGGCAAGATTGAGAATCGACCTGTGATCATGCTTTTGAAGGACGACATCGCCGACGCGATCGAGAAGTTGTACGAAAAGGTCGGAAACCATTTCAGGAAGACCCCGCAACTTCTTATTTTCTTTGCTCCCAACAAGGACTCCTGGCCATATCTGCGCATCAAGAAGTCTTGTGATTGCCGTTGGGGTGTCCCCTCCCAGGTTCTGCAATCGCAGCAGGTCGTGAAAATGAACACTCAGTACATGTCCAACGTGGCCATGAAGATCAACGCAAAGCTCGGCGGTGTAACTGCTCGCTCGGTCCCGCGCGTTACTGACGCCTCTCTCCGACCCGGTTCCATCATTATTGGAGCCGATGTTTCCCACGCTACTCCTGGAAGTTGGGCCCCGTCAATGTCGGCCATCGCGGTTTCGGCAGACGAGTATGGTGCTAAATACATGGGCAATTGCGAGACTGGTTATCGCCACGTTGAAATCATTGAAGAGCAAAACATGAAGGAAATGCTTATCCCGATGATCGATGAATGGACTGCGACTGTTGGGAAGGGACGTCGCCCACAGTACGTCTATTACTTCCGCGACGGCGTGTCCACCGGCCAGTTCTCCCACGTCCTTGAACACGAGGTGCCCGTCATCAAACAAGTGATCATGCACAACAGCACTGAAAAGGTGCCTCCCAAGATCTGCGTCGTGATCGCCAACAAACGCCATCATTTGCGTGCTTTCCCGCGTCCGGACGACAAGAATGCGGCGGATCGCAACGGTAACCCGGTTCCAGGGACTCTCATCGAGCGCGACATTACTAGTCCCCACGATTGGGATTTCCTGCTGTACCCTCACATCGCTCTGCAAGGTACTGCTCGTCCGGTACACTACCATGTGATCCTGGATCAGATCGGGCACAAGCCCCACCAGCTTCAGAACATGATCTACGATCATTCCTACCAATACGTTCGTTCAACCACTTCGGTTTCATTGTGTAAGTTTTCTGTTTTCAATTCAAATCTCCTCAAAGTTCAATCAGTTCCATCGTACTAACAATGTATCAGTCCCCGCAGTGTACTATGCCCACCTTATCTCTAACCGTGCTCGCCATCACGAGAACGTTCCTTCCAAGTCTGGTCCTCAAAGCGGACCTTACATCAAACTGACCGACTTGAAGGAAAAGAAGCCGCAATACCCGGGCGCCGAGCCGAAACGTTTGCTGCCGATGGTTCAGAATGAAACCAGAAATCACCTTGAGATGTGGTTTGTCTAGTTTTACAAGAGTTTGGGACAACACTTGACTGCGGAAGATGTTTTCTTCTTACAAAATTGGTCTGCGGTAGTTGGAATCGACTGGGACTGATCGTTTCCCTGCCATGCGCTGGGGAAACCCTAACGGACCCTATCGAATCTCGTCTGCTCACCAAGTGACCAGTCCGTAATCTCTTCGGATCGATATCGGATAGGTCTTAGATAGTTCTCAGCAGGAATACAAATTAATACCTTTCTTACAATCAATTTCTTTTTCCAGTCATGTCCAAGTAAACTCGTTTGAGACTTGCTCTGGTGCAGTCTTCGCGATGAAAATAAAGTGAGGTAATAGACGTATGGAAAGTTCGCATACCAATTTACAAGATCCTTCCGTGCCTTTTCATGGTAAGTAATTATTTCAGAAACGAACTCAGTGTTATCACTATCGAATCAGAAAACAGTGTATGAGTTGCGAGTACTAGATGATTTGAAAGTCTCTACCCAATTCTCTCGAGAACCACCTCACTCCTTCTGGATATTTTGGAAAGGAAACCATAGGAGGAAAAATTGCAAAGAGACAGACAGAGTGTGAGAAGGGGAGCGTTAGCTACGTGCATGCCCAACCATACCTAGATATTTATTTAGATCCTCCACATCGACTCCGAACCTCATTCTCATCCACTCATCCACTCGATACACGCATATGATTAGATAAAAAGAGAGAGAGAAAGAGATCCGATCAGTTCAGTGGTCGTTGAAAAGGGGGAAAAAAAAAACTACTGTGAGTCAAAGTACTCCGTACGCATGTTGAATTAGAGTTAGGGCTGAGTTAAGCTTATTCAAGTTTAGTTAGTTATCGACAGGACTCCATTCCTAATGCAATTCAGGTAACTCAAGCAAAGCTTGGCCATGGCGTATTTCGTACGGAGTAAAGTGTAACCTTTGTGAGTGGGTCCGATCCGTCCGTGGCCGTGGCATCATGGCTTGAGTTGAGAGTTCTTATCGATGAAAAAAAAAAGATAAATAATAATTAAAAAACAACATTCCCTTTCGGAGCTATTTGCGCTGCGGGTGGAAAGAATGAGTGTGAGGGAGGGATCGGAAATGGGTAGGTAGGTAGGTAGGTAGATAAAAAGTGATTGATTGATTGATGGTACATACAGTACAGGTATGTAGACAAATCAGTTGAATGGACAGATGATGACACTGGCACTACTAGCAGTAATACGTAGAAAGCGGATTGTAAAATTAAGTGCTCTGTACCATCTGCTTTTTTAAAAAATTAAACTTAGGAAGGAATCAGGCTACGTACAGTACGTACGTATGTACTACTTGAGCAGTTCTGCTCTGTTTACTTTTTTTTTCCTAAGATTTTTGAATGACGATCTTGTCACGGATTTGAATTGGATCTGTTCTCATGAAGAGAGAAAAACGAAAAAAAAAAGAGTACATACATACATACAGACATACATACATACAGCAGGAGAGACGTGTGTGTATGTATGGGATAGCAAGAAAGGAAAAAAAACGATAAAAGGCTAACGAGGCTAGGAATACTGCTGGAGCAGACAGGAGGGTGAAATAACGGAGGAGAAGGAGGAGAATGGTGAGGGTAGGATGGGACGGAGGTAATTGAAAAAAAACAAGACCAAGGCCACGGAACCTTTTTTTCCTTCCCTCCTCGTTAATCACGCTATGAAGTGATAACGACAGCAGCTGAGCTGGATTAAGAGTTTGCTGGTTTGTGTACAGAGAGGCAAATGTGAGAACAGCGGCCAGGCGAAAAAAAAAAGCGCAAATATGAAGACACGGAGGGAAAAAGAAGAATCAAAGAATCCAAAGATTCAGCAATAGCCGGCATTAAGTGGTATAGAAACAAAAAGGCCAGATTGAGAATCACGACCCAAAGAAAACAGAAAGTAGGTGAACAAGACCCGTCATCCATGATACGCCATCCTGTTGAACAACTCAACTTTGCCACCAAACCCGAATGCAGAGGATATGCCTGTATATAAAAACACCCATCCATATGAGCATAGCATAGCCTTAACCATAACCGCCAACCGAATGAGGAACTTTTTTTTCATGTCATGACTGATGTTGTGACACGGGCTAGTTGAATAGTGTGGAAAAACGGTGTATGATGTGAATCTCTGAGTTCATCCGTCTGTACCTGTGATAACTGATATGTACCGTCCGTGAGTTGACGCATCTTGCTCGGAAGAAGAGGTAAGATTCGAAAAAACGGCTCAAAAGTATTACGGAGTTGTCTGGACGGTGGGAGAAAGAAGAGATGAATAGAAGAGCAAAAGAAGGCGATATGTGCAGAATATTTCTTTTAAGGCTGGCCAGTAATGCTTTCAGGACTCATCATGCCAGCGCCTTGGTTTCCCGAACCTTCGGCGTCTGCGGCAGTCACTGCATCGGTAGACAAGTTAGAATCGTCAATGTTTCCGTTAAGTGAGGGGTGGTCGTGCCATTAGCTTTATTCTGGTGTGCATCGACGTCGCCAGCGACCGCACCACCGCCCTCTCCATCAAGAATATCTGACCCAGCGGAATTGTCGATGCCATTCTTCGCATTGCCAACTTCGGTTGCTGCAGCTGTAGAGTTCTCGTTAGGAGCAGAGACATCGGTTTTCAGCGCCTCTCCGGGCTGGTTGTCTGCAGGAACTTGGGAGTCTGCTGTAGACGTATTCACGACACCATCTCCAGCACCGTCGGCGTTCGATCCCGAAGCATCCATTGCAGCTCCACTGTTCTTCTTGACTTTCTTCTTGCTTGGCTCTGAAGCAGCAGTGCCTGGTTTGACGGAAGACGACTGGGAGGCAGTAGGAGGGAACGGGCGCTTTTGAGGACTGGTCGTGACACCACCTGGACCAGTCGGAGGAGGAATTTTGCCTGACGCTGGAAGACGCGGCCGTGCAGCTGTCGGACGTTGCTTTGGCGGCAGCTCGAGATCCTCAACAAGAGGTTCATCGTTATTGGCACGCAACTTCTCCCGGAAGAAGTTCTGAACCAACCCAATCTGATGCGGTAACGTTTGTAATGAGATGCGAGGATAAGGAGGAGGCGGGGGAAAGAGTGTGTTTGCTGCTTGAGCGGCACTGTAAGTGAAGCAAGAAAGTCAGTACACCTATACAGATAGCAAACGAAACAGGAGGCTGCATACTTTGGGTTCTGTGCTTGGTGAGCATTGAACATCCTGTTTTGAAGGAGGTGAAAGGGCACGCTAAGACTAGCGAGACCGAATTCTTTGTCCAACCCGAGTTCCTTAAAGCCGAAGAAGTCTTCATCGATATCCTCGGCAAAATCGCCGCCGATGAATTGCTCGCTCCCATCGTTGAACATGCTGGAGCCATCCCCACTGGTATCGTTGAATGCAGGTCGAAGAAGTTCTGCCAGGTGAGCTCTCAAGCGTTCGTGAACAACACTAAGCTTCGTCCCAAGTCGTTCCACATCATCTTTGATGTAGGACTCCAAGGATTCGACATCCATTCCCACAGAGGCGAGCGTGTGAAGAATGATTTGTTGTTGGGTGTATGCAGGCTTGTACTTAGGCGCACCCGCTTCCCGAGATCCGGGGACAAGGACCTTGGGAGCTTCCATGTACGTCTTCATCGTCTGACCGATCTTCTTGAAGAATTCGGAGGCAATATCTGTGATCGCGTCTAAAGCGGAGGGCTGGTATTCCTCAAAACCAGTGTGATAGAGAATCTTCGCAACCGACCGTTGCAGTGCAGCCTTGCATACCCAAGGACTTATCACAGGCCCTTCATCATTCATGACGTGGGTGGGTACATCCTGTTCCACAAATGGCTCGGGCTGATACTTTGGAAATTGATTTTGATACATCTGTGACAGACAAGTTAGAAAATACGCAGACCCGAGATAAGAGGATCTGGAGATGGTACGTACCTGAGATTGTAGCTGCATTTGTTTCACAATACCGATCTTTGAGCAGACCTTTCGAGTCTCCTGCATCTGCCGCATATTTGCATCCATTTTCCGCGAGAGCTTACTATCGGGCTGAGTGAATAAACCCTTGGGAAGAATTCGCAAGAACTGTTCCGAGTTATCCACGACATTGCCTTCAGCGTCCTCCCGCCACAGTAAATGCTCCGGAATATCGGGAATACCAGACATCACATCATAGTAGTCTGGAATGACCCTGTCCTCTTCCTCCTCGATGCCTTGTGCAAGGGTCTCGCCACCGCCATCTGGTTGCATGGCTTGCGTATTGGACTCATGGGTCTTATCGGCCTCAGACACCATTTGCTTCTGGTTCTTTAGCCATCTCCGCATGCCAGCTTTTGTTCGAAGCAACGCTGGTTCGTCCGGATTTAGTTTATCCCCTTTAAATAGACGATGTCTCTCTGCTGCGATGAGGGCACGATCTTTCTTGGTAACCTGTTTCCACACCTGATACTCGGGGTCTTCAACGTCGACACCCAAGGCAGACATGGCGCCCGGAGCAGGATTCGGGGCGCTGAAACCGTCGACTTCCATTGCATCGACCTGACTACCAGGGGCGCCAGCACCAGCTCCGTTCGCGCCGACAGGAGTCGAAGTCCCAGCGGGTGGAGTTGAAAGCCCATTTTGACTTCCCTCCGTCGGAGCATCTGGGTCGGCGGAAGCGCCAGTCTTCACTTGAGCACCTGAAGATCCAGATGGGCCTTCAGATCCAGTTGGTGTCTGACGGGCAGGAGCAGCTCCCTTCTTGGATGTTTTCCCGGGAGCCTTCCTGCCTCGAGATGACATGATGGGCTCATCATCGCTTTCCTCTGCTCCATCCATCTCGGCAAGCTGCATACGGCGTTCCTCCGCTTCTACTTCCGCGCGATCTCTGATGACGATATCCGGGATCAAGGGAACGAGCTTCTCGGTTTCTTTCCTCATGAACAATGCATGTTTGCGGAGGAAATGGTCGGGGTTCGTGTTGTATTTCAGGCAATTTGACCAGATAAGATTGAGATCGTCGACGAACTCCTGCTTCGACTTGTATTGCAAGGCCTTGAGTTTCTTCGTCATCGTCCCGAGATCCATAGGATGCTTGATGACTAGAGGAGGTTAGCAAGAAAAGAAAAGGTCGAACAGACTGCTACACGGCCACAAACTCACCATTATAATAGTCCGGAGCGTCTCGTTTGTTAACCCTCGTAAGGAAAGCGGTCGAGTGCTCCGTCATCGCCTTGAGTTCGCTCAACACTTTCTCTGCCGCTTCGTAGAGCTCTTCTTGACCGATTTTATCCTCACTTGCCCATTTGCTTCGATTCTTGCGAACTTCGCTCATCAAGCTCCGGAGCTCCGCGTCAGAAGCTTGCACCATGTTCCGCTTCATATCGATCCGAGCAATGAGGTTCTTCAGGGTCAAGCTGGAGGCGCCGAGGTTGGCATTACTCAAGGAGCCGTAGCCGTTGGTGCCGGAGCTGGAGTTGTTGGCAGCATTTTGCCCCGACATCTCCGCCTCGACGAGCCGCTCCGACTCCTCGAGCCGCTGCTGGTCCAGCATCGCGTCCCGGTCATTTTCCAGGGTGTAGAACATCGTCTGGAAGCTCCTCCTCGCAGCCTCCTCAGTCGCCTTCTTGTCCTCCTCCAGTTTCTTTCGAATATCCTCCGCCGTCTCCTTTTTCGTCTCTTTTGCGCCGTCGGGAGTCGCTGTCGCGGTCATGGGACGCTGCCCTGGCGACGGATCTCGAACGGGAGGAGCGGCGGACTTGGCCTTGAGCGGAGATGCGGCCGAGTCGTCAGCAGCCTCGCTGCCTTCTTCGTCGTCGTATTCATCATAGTCGTCATCATCTATCTTCCTGGCAGGTTTTTTCGGGGGCCGCGCTTGGTCTTCAGGACGCGCCGCGTTGCCATCGGGGGGCTCGACGGCCATGGCATCGGGACCGGAGGGCTCACGGACGGTTTTGTCATTGCTGAAAAGGGCGCTAATCTTCGCCTCGCTGCGCTTGTAGAGATCGCGAAAGAGGGTGATGCGTGGATCTTCCTCCGCGGCGGTATCAGCATCGGATATCAGATTCCCAGTCTGCGACCCTTCCGCGCCGGCGGAGCCGCGCATCTGAGGGGTACGGGGAGCGGACGAGGCTTTGGAAAAACCATTGACAGCCCGCGCATCGGAATGAGGGTCATCGGGGGGTCGAAGATGCCCCGGTGGGAGCCAGGCGTGGTGCTGACCGAGCGACATAACCGCACCGAAACCCCGGGTCTGGGGCGGACGAGGGGGTGTGTTTCTCCACGGTTAGACCCGGTCGGACAGGGCACCACCACGCGGGTTGCAGACGCGAAAAGGGAGCCCAGAGGAAGGACAAGGCGCGAAAAAGAGCGCGACGATGTCTCCGGGTCGAAAATCGATGGAGAGACGGCGAGGTTGATGGCTGATGTCGGGCTCCTGGAGGTGGTTCTTGCGCGGTCGAGTGAGGTGAGGTGGCCGTGGCGGTCGCTGCAGACTTCAGACCACAAGCGCAGTTCGTCCCGTTCTCGGCAGGCCCCGGTCCAGTAAAGCTACAGTAGCGTGCTCGACAGCCTCGTCATCCTCGCCGTGCTGCGCCTGCAGACAATCCACAGAGTGCAGTCGAATCGACATCCCCAGATCGCGTCAACGCCTCCAGAGACCCCGCCTCGCTGCCTGTCATGCTCCTGGGCTGAGCCCGCCCCTGGTGCTCCTTCAGCAGCCCGCGTTCTTTGCAGTCTCCGCCGATCGTCGCGGCTTGCACATGACGCAAGCCCTCACGCCGCCTGCTGTTCCATTTGATCTCCAGCCTGCCGCTGTTTTGCAGTCCTGAGAACATTTCACTGCGTCAGCAGATCTCTCGACGATGCGGATCCGCTACTCCTTCGCGGGTAAGTCACCCAGAATGAACCAGAGCTACCATGGCTGCACCGGTGCATGGTTGCGGATCCCTCACGTCATGGCAAGACGTTTGAACGTCCTCGATGAGCGTGCATGTCGCATATTTGGGAATTGACTTCCTGATGTCTTTCTCGACAGGCGCATTCGTGCTCCTTCTCCTCCTCTCGGCCTATATGGGCCTCCTCCCGCACAGCACCTCCAGCTCGATACCAGCGCAGCTACAACCCAATGACAAGTTCCTGCACCTCGTCACCTTCTTCTTCCTCTCCCTCATCTTCTACTGGATCGCTGATACGTCCCGTCGACGAGCCATGCAGTTCACTCTGCTGGTCTGCACGCTCTTCCTGGGCGTCGGCTCCGAAATCGTGCAGGGTCTCCTCCCGAACGACCGTCCCTTCGACCCGTTCGACATCGTCGCCAATGTGGTGGGCAGCTTGGGCGCCATTGGCCTCTGCAGCTGGTATCATCGCCGCATGTTGGAGCGACGGCGCAAAGCCCGCTTTGGCGCACTGGCAGACGGCGGCGCCGAAGACGACATCGAGCTGGGCTTGGGCGCCAGCGCTGGTGACGGCGGGCATGACGGGACCAGCCGTCTCGGTCCACAGGAAACCGGTGTCACGACGTTGGAGCAGGAGGTCGATAATTGGGACGAGAATGCCGTCGACAACTGGGACACTGAGGATGGCCCAGGTCCTGAAGAGGGTGCTCACCACCAAAAAGCCGATGAGGTGCAGAAGGGTCCCTCCGCAAGTACTACCGAAGCCAGCGGCGTCAGTAGCAATGTGAAGACGAGGAATGACTGAATGAACGATATATGGATGGAACATTTTTTTTCTCTTTTTTTTTCGGTGCCGTTTTTTATTCCTCATTCCCTCCTCATCCTCCCTCACTAAAATTGATTGAGCGCTGAGTTGAATCCGAAAGATGAGATGGGTATTATCCCTCCCTCTCGTCAATCAGTCAATCAATCAATCCATCAATCATCGTGATCGACCGTGTTTCGAACAGAATCTAAATGTATTTCTCCCCCTCACTCTTCTGAACTATCTATCTACACTCCCTGGCGTTGTGGATTTGGTGCAAAGCAAATCAGACAGTCCAGCAAAAATATTCCTTTTTTTCTTGCCTTTTTGGTATGGATGTACTTATGTATATGATGCTATGGACATGTGATCACCCCTTCTGCAATGCGATTGATATTATTATTATTATCGCTTGACTTTCGATTAATCTATGAAAATTGACAGAACGCGTTTCTGCTGTTGGGGACCCATATAGTATACCTCACACTTTTACTGCTACATAGCATTGCCAGTCCTGCTGCATCGCTGCGTCCGTCGTAATCGAGGGTCTCATACAGCGAACCTGTGGACTCTAATAGAGTTCCAAAAGGAGGGTGAGAAGGCTAATGACAGGTCTCATACGAGGAAGGTTGCCAGGAAATGGAGTAGAGTACATAGAGACGATGACAATCGGTCAAAGGCAACAGAGGGGAAAGGATATTCCCCCATTTTTCAGCCTATGGATCTATTCCAGTACCAAGTTAAACAGTAAGAATTATATATAATACACAGAACATTGCCCTAGTCCAGCAATCAGACGGCCCGGAAAAGAGCAAAAGAGACGAGCACAGAGAAAGAAAGAGACACTGAGGATATGCGTGGGACAGTGAAGAAATATACAAACAAGTCAAAATATACAGGACTTCTCAAAAACAGATGGTCAATGAAAAAAGTAGAAGGAGGAATAGGCACTAAGCCACCCATGGAACACGGCAAAACAATGCAAAAGGATGCTGAATACCAAAAATGAAAATGAGAAATCTAAGGGCTTGACCACATTTCATGCAAAAGCCAAATGATAAATGCAGCAAAGCAATGGGATGCGATATGCAGACTCATGGACATTCGTAACGCTCGTCTTAGCATGCATCAAAAGGTAACACCAAGGAAAGAAAAACAAGGCCCGATAATGTAAACACTTTCACCACTCGCCAGATGAGAATTGCCAGAAGAGACAGATGATCTTCGTAAGGGATAACCCTTACTCATTATCCGAAACCTCAGGAGTGCCGGACCAGCTCCTGGTAGGAGTGGCAGCGCGGTCTGGCACAGGCTCCAGCTCAGGTTTTGCAGAAAAGGTATTATCGGTGTCAACAGACAGCTTGGCGACTTTTGGAGATCTCAACTCCGTCCGTGGGTCTCCTTCGCTCATGACTCCAAGCTTCCGGAGGCTCTGCTCCCTCAAAACCTCGTAGATAAAATGAAGCTGCATCTCGTTATATACCATCATCATCCGCTGCTCCCGCAGCTGGTTGACCGTTTCAAAGACTGGATCTTCCTCGCAGCTAGTCGCCTTGAGTAATTCACCCGATTCCAGCTCCCTGAGCAGGTGGTCGAGAGCAATGAAAGTACCCGTCCGGCCCACGCCCGCGCTACAATGCACCACCCGAGGATTGTCAGGAGTACTCCTGGAGGCACTCTGCTTGATCAGCCGGAGGAGGGCTTCCCGATTCTCGCCTTCAGGTTTCGAATAATCCGCCCATCCAGCGAACAGGTAGTGCCAGACTATCTTGGTCTGTGACCCAATCTTGAGCTCGAGTTTTCGGACCTCGGATCGGCATGCCTCATCGAATTCAGATTCCAGCAAAGTGATCTTCCCCAGCATATCCTCATTAATTTTGTGGTGCGTTTCGTCGTTCACAAATGGATCCGGCGGCTCAACTGGCAGGTCCATGGAGGGATGCTCAAGGTCCACCGGGAAATATTGGGCACACTTTTCCCTGCCAGCCTCGAAAGTCTGCGTGAGCATCACTATTACGGCGACTTCCTTGGTTTCGTGATACACCATATGCCAGAAGTGCGTAACGTGAATGCCATCTTTCGGGCCCTGAATTAATGGTCAATGGTCAAGCCCGTGCAGGGGAGTCAAAGGATTCCTTCTGGGTACTGACCTGTGTCGCAATATACCTCGTTTCTTGTCCCGTGCAAGAATCCTTCAGCACGATCGGTGACGCATTTATAAAGTCGCACTCCCCCTCGGGGACCTTGAGATGGATCCGAGAATTCGCCCATGCCTGCACATTGAAATATCGGTTCCGCGCCTTTACCTCAGGGTCAGTCTCCAACGCCCACCGATGCGACGGATCATTGGCCATTGCCCCTTCGGTAATGCGCGCTCGTTGAAGCCACTCCAGATCTTCGAATTTCTTCCGCACCTCTGCATACAATACAGGGGTTAGTTTACGATCCCTTCGGTCTGGTTGCGAGGACGACACCGACCTGATACTGGCAGATCTAGGAATGGAGGAAGGCTGGGATGACCACCAGCTGCTACCGGTTCCCGCTCCCCAGCCGACGAAGTCTCATCATCGTCATCGTGAGAAAAGCCCCGTTTCGTACCGTGAACATTCGTGTCTACCTTGATGGATGAATGTGCCATCTTGGCGGCTGCTCTGCGATGAAGGGCTCGAAAGCGATCCAGGACACTGCGCGCCTTTCTCGATGCTCTCTTGCCGGTCGATGCGAGCTTCCGTGATCTGCTCCGGCGACTTGGTGCCTCCGGAGAGGAGGAGCGGGACGGACTCTCCGTAAACTCCCGTGCGCTATTGACTGGAGATTCAGGATCTGCTGCGTTTGCGGCCTGGGGCGAAATCCGCAACGACGACAGATCGGGACAGCTGCGAGAGCTGCTGGGCGGGCGTTGTGCGGCCAGATTTCCGACTTTCCAGAGCTGAGGGGCCACGGACCGGCCAGGGAGGGGTTGTTTGGAGAAACAGGCTGGAGGAGGGAGGGGTTCGACACGAGAGCTGGCGCCGCTCCGGGTTTGGTAATCGAGCACGTATCTAGAGCCTAGCGTCGTCCAACACTGCAAGCTCTGTCGGCGCCAGGGGGGTGGATTTGTCTGCACGCCTCTGATCCTGTCAATGGTTCGGACCGGGCCAGCAGTCCGGCTGGAACACAGGACGCAGGCAAGTGCACTCGGCAGGAGGCGTGAAGCGGAAATATAGAAAACCGTAGAAAAAATCCAATTAACAATCAGGCAGGAATGAGAACGAGCCAACGTGCTTTCAATCCGCCACCGTGTCAAAAGAAAAAAGAAAAGTCCATTTCAGAACCAATGGATGAGTATAAGGCAGTCCTTGCTATCGCGACCGACGTCCCCTGGCTGGAGACTGGGTGATCAGAGTCTTGAAGGGTTGTGTTTGCGCCACCGCATCGAAGCTTCTTCGGTCGGCCGCCGGTTCCACCACCCAAGAAAAACGAACATCACGCATCTCTTTCTTTTTCTCCCCGTCCTTTCACCGACCCTTTCCCCGGGTCTTTCGCACAAGGAGGGCGATCAACTCATGGATTGCCCTCAATTCGATGTAGCTGGTCCGTTCAGACGACAAACGAGGTCTCCTTGCGCAGGATGCCTTTTCATTTTTTGTGGCTTCGGTTGTTTGAAGTGAGCCGTCGAAAAGATCACCACTGTTTTTCTCCCTGAACATGCTGACCTGAGATCTGTTCTCGTCAACAGGAATGGGCAACCCGTCGCGTAAGTATACTCTCCCAGCCGCCCTTGAAGCCCCTGCGCCTTGGATCTGACGGCTTTTCTTCGCATCCACTAGCTGCTGGCGAGTCCATTCTTCCATCGGATGGTGGGCGGGCTTCACAAAAAGATCCATCATCTCAGATATGGGCCTCCGCCTGAAGAAATGGGAGGGACGAAGATTGATGACCACTGTATGACGCCTCTGGCTGAATCTGCAGGTTTCTCGCACGATCGGTTAAGTGATACTGACGCGTCGATGTCGATAGCCGGAATCAGATACTTTCTACGCTTGTTCAAGGAGGAGATAATGGAGCAGCTGAAAGACAAGCCCTCTAGGAGGCGATGACCTCGGCTTGTTCATCCCAACATGCTCGAAATACTCGCTTAGTGATACCCTTTTGATGATACCCATAATAGCAAGATGCTTTTCGATTTCTCTATCTTTTGCGTCTCTGCCGTTGGCGGTTTAAGGGCGTTTTGCCATCGGATATCGTCGTTGCCATAGACTCTTTTTTTTTTTTGGAAAGGTGTTCACCGGATAGGGATTGGGTTGCAGCTGTCGAACTTCAAGAGCTGGATCCTTCATTCTATCCGGAGAAGAAACCCATCATTGCTTCATTCCGCTTTGTCCAGCTCTTCTTTGTCCTTCTCAGACGAGCTGGGACTTGAATTGGGAAGCAAACAGTTTCCTCGACATTATTCCACCAAGATTACGAGACCAAGCATTTCAGTTGGAGTGACCCTGCCCATGCGATCTACCAACGATGCTACCCAGGATGAAACCTGGGGTCCTCAGTAGAATTAATTGTACTCTCTGGGCCTGATGAGGGACATTCTCTGCGCCTGCAAGAGTATACGTAGGTAGTGACAATGACAACAGAGAGAATAATAATAGAGCATTCTGTGTTCTGCCCCTCTTTCCAGCAGTCAGGATGGAGTATTCCGTAGTTCACATCTCTTGTGTCGAAAGCGGGGAGATGGTCGATCAAAAATGACGACAGGAATCATATTCTGGCCGTCAGCGAATCATATCAGCGATGTCAAGAATAATACTGCGGAGTAGTCGGAAAGAGGCATCAGACGGCATTTGAGCGATCGCGCTAGGGAACACAGCCCTTGGGAGATGAAACATGTCATTCGCGCTCGCGTGGTGATGATCGCTGGGTCTTCTGCAATGACACCCAAGGAATGCAACGCATCCTCGACTTGTTTCCGTGTACGTACGCAGCAGGTACCTGGGATCTGGGACCAGGCTGAAGGTTAAAACTGACAAGATATTTTTGGCTTGTCATTTTGGACAGCAGAATATCGATGACATGAGTTCTGCCAAACAATTACTTTTTACCCCCTTTACTTGAATACTTTCTTAGTCA